TCTACGTCCAAGACAACCCAGGGGGCCCCCAAGAGGGCCCCAAGATGGCCCGAGAGGGCCCCAAGACGACCAAATAATCCCCAAAGATGGCCCAGAAAGACCCCAGGACGGCCCCACGAGGGGGCCCAAAGGAGGAACCCGACTTGAAATTTCGAGCCTTCGGCCCCAAGACGCCACCAGTTTGCCCAAGGAACCCCCCAAGAGGCCCCAAGAGGCCCACGGGAAAACCCCCAAAGGCCCCCCCAAAACCCCAAGGACGCCGAAGGCGGGCCGGAAGATGCCCAAACCTTGCGTCCAAGACGCCCCCGAGAAGCCTCACACAAGACCCCATCAGCCGTCCGAGTGGCCCCAGACCCACAACCCAGGCACGGTGGCGGGAGGCCCTGGTGCTGGACAGACGCCCGCCGTCTGTGAACGCTGGTTTGTCCCTTTTTTCCCCATGCGCGCACGGCGAACACAGAGAGCGTCAGCCGCATCAAAAAAACAAGAACCATCCCCAAGGACTCTGGCGTTGACCCTCTCCGCATCCTCCTTTTCCTTCTCTGTCTTCTCTTCTTCCTCCTTCTCCTCCTCCTCCACCTCCTCCTCCTCCTCCACCACCTCTTTCTTCTCTGCTTCCTCTTATTCATCCTTTTCCTCCTCCTCCACCTCCTCCTCCTCCTCCTCCTCGTCCTCCTCCTCCACCGCCTCTACATCCTCCTCCTCCGCCTGTTTCCCTCTGCGGTCCCGAGCACGTCGCGCGCTGCCACACTCGCTTCGGCGTGCCCCACGCGCACAACCTGCACTTCAGGGTGCCATTATGGTGGGAACGCGCGAAATCGGGTCCAACGACGACTTGGGATTTCGGGACGTTCCTTTTGCAGGTGCCGAAACACCCGCACGCTTGCCAACTGCGCGCAGTGAAGCCGAGGTCCAAACAGTCTGCGCATAATACTTCCCTTCCTTTCGTCACATGTCCCGTCTCTCGCGCGCTGCTGCGCGCCGCGCGCGCCAAACGTATTTCCAAACGCTTCGCCGCATCGGCCATTCCCTGATCGGTGATGTCTTGTCTTCTCGCATGGTCCACGCATCGCTCTCTTTCCTCTGATCCCACGGTGTTATTGCACTCGTTTCGGTTCAGATGGCCCGTGTCCCAGAAAGTCGCCCCACATCCTGGCGCGCAGCACTTCGACGTCCACGCTTCTGCCTGCTTTTCGCTTGCGGCTGCTCGACGCAAGCGTGGACTTCTGGCGCTCCTCCGCGCATCTTCGATTGAGGCGTTCCTTGGTTGCGCGGTGCTTCTTCTGTGCCTGCGACATCGCAGCCCTATCTCCGAGAAGCGCCACGCACTCGTTGCTCGAACAGCGCGCTCTGCCGGCGTTCTGGCTCCATTCGTTTTTGCTTTTGCGGGGGTGCACCTCTCGCAAAACATGGTCCGAATTGTTTTCGGCTCCTCCTCGCCCCCCCCGCTCGCATGCCCGAGTGCTACCGTGCATCGCCGCCCTCTTTCCTTCGGCTTTCGTTCCCCAGGCTCTGCATGCTCTGCGCCACTTCTCGCCCGCGCTTGTCATCTCCGCCCCGCGTTCTCTACAAAACGCCGGACTGTCCTTGATCTGGGAGTTGTACTTCGGGAGCGCCTCCTCTGATGGCCTCCGCCAACACCGTCCGCGCTGGTCTCGCGGCGTCCGTTCCGCCTCCCACTCTTCCGAATCCACGTCGTCCCCCTGGAATACCTGCAACAACGTCGTCGTGCTGGCCATACCGCCTTCGTTGTACGGCCCCCTATGGAAAGGCCGACAGATCAACCAGTGTGTTCGCCTTGGCACACGTGTGAAGGCAACGTAACTTGACATCCAACTCACGCCACGCCCTCCTTCAAGATCCTCTCTGACTGCACCCATTGTTCGTCCTTGCGCGGAGTGCGTCGTGAATGCCAACGACGGCGTCATCATGAACTGCGTCCTCTTCCTCCTGCTGCAGCCCACACCGCGCGGAAGTACGCCGACCGTTGGGACCCTCCCTTGGGGCCGTTATTTTCATCTTCTACCGCCACCCTCCCTCCTCCCGGTCACGTTTCCTTGTGAGCGCTGCTCCCTGCCAGCAGTGTTTGGGCGCCCGAAGCGCTCCCCTGCGAAACACCATGGTATCGGCAGATGTGGCGTAAGCCTGTAGAAGCTGCGAACCTTACACATACGTGGTTGTGTAGATCCTGCAAGATTGTGAACTCTGGTGCAAAACCATGTTGCAGCCGATCTCCTACCCGAAAGGCTGGCTGCGTCAAGATCCACGGCCTCATGGGCGGAGCGCCTGGCCCGCAGCCACTGCCAGCATCGGCCCCGGGACCCTCACAGATCGATCCAGTTCGACAGATGACGCAGACTGATGGGGAGGAGGAGGAGGAGGAGGAGGAGGAGGAGGAGGAGGAGGAGGAGGAGGAGACGAGGACGAGGACGAGGGGGAGGAGGAGGAGGAGAGGAGGAGGAGGAGGAGGAGGAGGAGGAGGAGGAGGAGGGGGAGAAAGAGTAGGAGGAGGAGCAGGAGGAGGAGGAGGGGCAGGAAGAGTAGGAGGGGGAGGGGGAGGAGGAGGGGGAAGGGGAGGCCCTGGGCTCTGGACGCGATGTTTCGCGATTCTGCATATCTCTTCCTCGCAGCGTCGGACCTCAGGGAGGGAAGGCAATCGTTCTCCCGACTGCGAGGGGAGCAAGAGCCCGCTCGAACGCCCGCGACCGGCCCCGCTCCCCCCCCCCTTGAACGACGGATTGCAAAAAAACCAAGGATCGCAAACAAACAAGGATTGCAAAAAACGAAGGGTTTTTTGCAATCCTTCGTTCAAGGGTTTTTTTGCAATCCTTCGGTTTTGTTTTTGCAATCCTTCGTTCAAGGGTTTTTTGCAATCCTTCGTTTTTTTGCAATCCTCCCCACCCAGGCCACGCCACAATTCGCGCTGGCGCCGAGGGGATGAACCTCTCTTGGGCATTTCCAGATGGCGCCGGCGGCGCGAATCGTGACGCGACCTGCCCCCTCCCCCCTTCCCCTCACGCCCCCCGGTCACGCGCGCCATGATAGCGCGCGTGACCAGGCGCGCTGAGGCCTGGGGAGCAGGAGACCCGGACCCCAACGTCATGTTTTTTTTGTTTCAAAACGTTGGCCCCCAGCAGTCTCGACCCATTCCCGGGACAAGTTTCTCATCATGGGTCGTTTTGACGTCCCGAAGACGAAAATATAGAAACACCTCCCGTCATTATTTTTTCATCGCCAGAGGGGGTCTGGGTCTATCCGTTGGCGATAATCGCCAGCGGATAAAAAACTGGGTCCTCATCCATGGACGCCTTGCGGGGAGCTCTCTAGCATGGGGGCTGCCAGGGGGGCTCAGCGCCCCCGGAAGCCATCTAGTGCGGTTTGTCACCCCAGATCCGTGTTCCCAGATCACGGCGGGGAATTGTTAGTTTTACCCCAGACCCCCCAGCGGGCTTCAATTTCTAGCCAGGATCCGAAGCCACTTGAGGGGGGCGCAGAGTAGTAGGCGGACGAGGGTATGGCCACTGCAAAGCAGGTGATCGCCCGCGCGCCCTCTGCCTCTCCAGTCTGATCGACGCTTTGACCTCTTGGCGAGCAAAAAGATATGGCGATCGCCAGTTTACGTGAGGCTACACATCTTGGTCCCTTCGCTTGCCACCGCTCGGGCGCCCATTCCCCGTGCACGTGCCGGCTTCGTGCGTTGTCTTTTTGCTCGCAGGGTGATCCTCGATGCCCCCCGATGGTCCTCGCGAACAGAAGCTCACACGTCCGAGGGCATGCCGAGCGACCTGCTGTCGTCTCCCGATGTCGAGGCGAACCCGGCCGTGGCGACGGAGGGGGCGGGCAGCGGCGTCGGCACCTCCTCCTCCTCCGAGGCGTGCCCTCCTCCGATGCTTGCCGCGTGCGCAGGCGCAGCCTCGTGTGAAGAGGCCCCGGGGCACACGAATGGTTACCCTGACGGTGTGCCCAACCCTTGCGCAACGTGTGGCCAAGAGAGCTCGGAATCAACTACCGGGGATGATAGCGCTGCAGAGACCGATATGTTTCTGCGGCCGCTACTTGAGAGGCTCGCCGAGCCGCGGGACTCGCAGGGCATCGATCAGTGGACTGGGGCTTGATGGAGGCGATTAAGTCTTTCCCTGGCTTGAAAGAAAAGAAAACTGCCCCGCCCCCCCAGCAGCCCCCGAACGTGGCAGCAATTTCCCAGATCGCACCCCCAAAAGAAAACGGCGAGGTCTAATCTAGGTCTGCGGCAGGTACCCACTATGGAGCCCCCCCCTCACAGCAGCCCTCGATCTGAGCTTGGGTAGGGGCCCCTCCACTATGCTGCCCCCCCCAGCAGCCATCGAAAGTGGCGACAGTTTCGCGGATCGCAGCCCCCCAGGAATGGTGAGGTAAATTCTGCATCCGCGTATGGCGACACTGGCTGCCCCCCAGCAGCCGTCGAAAGTGGCGATAGTTTCACAGATCGCAGCCCCTCAGGGATGGCGAGGTCCAATCTGAATCCTCGCATGGCGACACTGTGCTGCCCCCTCGCAGCCCTCGAACGTGGCAACAGTTTCGCAGGTCGCAGCCCCCCAGGGATGGAAAGTTCTAACGTGAATCCGCGTATGGTGACACTGTGCTGGCCCCCACCCAGCAGCCGTCGAAAGTGGCGATAGTTTCACAGATCGCAGCCCCTCAGGGATGGCGAGGTCTAATCTGAATCCGCGCATGGCGACACGATGCTGGCACCCCCAGCAGCCCTCGAAAATAGCGACCGCTTCGCAGATCGCAGCCCCCCAGGGGGAGGGCGGGAGGGTGGCGGGAGGAGAACGTGACCACGCTGCTCTATTCAAAGCGAGAACCCAACAACGGAGGGTTGGGAGATGGACACAAACCCCAAGATTCCGAATATGTGTCCATATTTCCTGGATGCTCGTCATCCTCTCCGTGGCCCGCATTATCAATATTTCCTGGTGGGGATGGACGACCACTTGTGTCTGTATGTTTTTGTTCCCCTCCTGATCATGAACTGCTTCAAGGCCTGCCGGCTACCGCAAGAGTGACCCTAGGCAAGAGTTGATGGGCCTGTCTTCCACCGCCACCACCACCATAAGTTGGAGGGGGAGGGGGTCCTCCTCCTCCTCCTCCTTCTCCTCCTCCACCTCCTCCTCCTCCTCCTCATCATCCTCCTTCTCCCCTCAAACTTATGGTAGTGGTGGTGGAAGACATGCCCATAAAGAGTGGACCGTTGGCGCGCGGCCTTCGGGGGGCCGCGGGGACGCCGAATCCAAGCATGGAGGCCAGCGCTGGGGGCAACCCTGTGGGCCCACACCAAAGGTCGCTCTGGCAAAACTCAGTGGCAACTCATGGGAGCCTCCCATACTATAGGAGGCAACTGCTCGGAGGTCTTCGTCGGAAAGACGGAAGAAAATCGAGTCCTATTTGCGGGGCCGTAATGCCAGAGTGGGCTCCGGATCAAGCGGGATCAAGCCGGATTCAGCTGGATCAAGCTGGATTAAGCCGGATTAAGCCAGATGTCGGACCAGGGCAAAATCAGAATTTGACCTCCCAGGAGTTGCATCCGAACCATACTATCGTGTTGGCTCTTGATCGACGCTGAATCGGCGGTGACCGACACTAATCGACGCTAACTCGGGCCATCTCGTTGACCACCAGGCACGAATCGACGATAGCATCCTGAAAGCGGGATTGCGAGGGCATACAAGCTCCCAAGACTTGCGACCAGAGGCGAAAAGTCACTTAGGACGCCCGAAATGGGTACGGAAAACATGTGTACGATGCTCAACCACAGATGTCGCCCAAAACCGACAGAGGCTGCTGTTGGGCATGCGACCTGCTGTCTCAAATGGGCAAGCCCGGGGTGACACCGACAGCAAGCACTGTTCAAACTGGGCAGGATATGCTGTCGGTTACACCCATTCCCAGGCCCCCATGACGTCGACCCCCAAAGGTCTCGACCCATTCCCTGGGACCAATTTCTCATCCTGGGTCTGTTTTTAATGGTCCCGAGGCCCTGTAGAGGCGGAAACTAGCGACAACACACTTCCGTCGTGATTTGTGTCATGACCCGAGGGGGTCTGGGTTCTTTCCGTACCCGTTTCGCTCCTCCCGATGCGCGTAAGGTCAAGGCCCTATTCTTAGCGCGTGAGGTCCTGCGACACCCAAGCTGTTGATCACGCCAAGCAGCGCAAGGCGTGGACGCTCAGGAGGGTTGGACGAAACAGCCCTCAGATAAACACGCGAAGTAACAATCACGCAGGATACTTGCCAAGTTCGGAGCACTTCGCGTGTATAGGCGTAGTGGGAGAAGAGGGCTAGGCCAAGGACGGGAAGGAGGAAAGGGAGGGGGAGAGGGAGAGGGAAGGAGGAGAGGGGGGGGGGGGACAGGGAGGGGGAAGGAGGACGGGGGAGGGGGGAGACGGAGGAGGAGGAGGAGGAGGGAGGAGGAGGAGGAGGAGGAGGAAAAGGAAAAGAGAGAGAGAAGGAAAAAGGAGGAGGAGGAGGAGGAGGAAAAGGAGGAGGAGGAGGAGGAGGAGGGAGGAGGAGGAGGAGGGAGGAGGAGGAGGAGGAGGAGGAGGAGGAGGAGGGGAGGCAAGGATGAGGTGGAGGAGGGCAAGGAGGGGTGAGGAGGAAACAGGAGGAGGGAGGAGAGGAAGAGGAGGAGAGGGGGAAGGGGGGGGGAGGAGGGAGGGCAAAGCCTAGCCCTCTACACGCTAAGAACAGGACCGTGACCGTCGGCGAGCCTGGGCCGTCTCGTTGTCCAGGCCGCAGCCGGCGGGCAGGGCCTTGCCGCGGAGCGCGGCCGCCTGCCCCTGCGCTGCGCCCTCGGCGCGCCACGGCGGTGGCGCGACCCGCGCCAGCGAGGCCGAGGCGGGGTGGGCCGGCTGGGCCTCGAGGGGCAAGGAGATGAGCATCTGAGCAGGACTCCTCCTCCTCTCCTCCTCCTCCTCCACCTCTTCCTCCTGCTGCTCCTCACCTCCTCCTCCTCCTCCTCCTCCTCCTCCCCCTCCTCCTCCTCCTCCTCCTCCTCCTTCTCCTCCTTTTGCGCGGCCACTACTCCTCGCGCCGATCAAAATCGAGTGAGACAAGGGTATATATCGACAAGAATCAGCAAGCCAAGAAGGAGGCGGGGGCAGGGCGGGCGGTCCTTGCCTCACCGTGCTTCCACCACTTCGACGCCCCTGCCTTGAGGGGCCAAGGCTTGCTGATATGGTGGCCTCTGGGCCACAGGAGCTTGCCAGCCGCAGGGGTCCTCATTTGGGCCTTGAAGACTTTGTGGCAACACTCAAGCAATCTGTGAGGGGTCCCACAGCAGTGGCACCGTCTGGAGGCACCTGGAGACCCAGAGACGGTGGCCTTTGCCAGGGGCGTCATGAGGGGTCCCCAGGGCCAGCAGACTTGGAGTTAATAGCGCACAAAAGCTGCTGCAACCTGGAGGCCTGACAAGCGTGCGAGCGCAAGCAATGCATTGCCATCTGTTGCCATTCCAGCGGCAGTCGCGCATGCTACTTGGGGCCAGGGTCTTGGGGGTACGGGCGCGGGCGAGCCTAGACAATTCCCCAAAAAGCTCCTTGGACCCTGGCCACAGTTCAAACATACTGAACATCGCTTGGGCCACTTGGAGCCATTTGCCAAACAAACAAAGACAAACACACTTCGATGTCTTGGGCATCCGGGTGCATCAGGGCTCCTCGTTTAGCATACTCATCAGCCAGATCTTTCTCTCGGATATTGAGCTGGGTGGTTGGATCGGTCTCCTCCTCTGCCTTCGAGTCGAGTGTGCTTTCACCCTCGTCAGGGCCAGGGGTGGGTATTTACCGCCGTCCACTTTACGCCAGACATATGCAGAGCTAGTGGCCCCGTCGATACTCCTGCGAGGTAGACCCACCCCATTCATCAGGGCAGCGCAACCAACTTAGGCGGCAAGGAACGGCAACTTCGAATCGGCCTGCATCAGCCTGCGTAGCACCGCCAAGTGTTATCCAAACTGGCGTCTGGCTGAGGAGCCCTGGAACTGGCCCAGACACTGGCCGCGATGGCCGCCCAACCCGCTCGAGAGCCCCCCGAGCTGGAAAACTTGGGTCCGAAACAGTTCCCGTCGAAGGGGATCTCGTCCTCTTTCCCGAAGGTAAAAGGCTCCTGGGCCCCATGCTCGCCCAGGTAACCGACAAACTCACCCACGATGGGGTGGGGCCCGTTGTTCGGGCACAGGAGCCCAGAGGTGTCCGAAAAGCGGGTCGCCCCGGTCCAGCAGACAGGGCTTCCTGGAGGAAGTCCTGATCGACGATTTCTGACCATTCTACGTCCTTGGCGGGGCACTCCCTCACGCGGCGCCACGCCGAGTCCATGCTCTTCCCGCGCAGGCTGCGCATCGGCATGGGCTGGTAGCCCCAGTGGTGGAGCTTCTCTGATTTGACGTAGCTCCTGCAAAATACCTGCCTGGCAATGCGTCTCTGCCTGGCTGACCTCTTCGAGCTTCTCCAAAAGGTCTTTGGCGGGGGGGCCCATGGCCCTCGATCTCTGATTTCGACGTCCTTGCTAAGGGCCCCATTGGGGGTCCGAGGGGGCCCGGGGCCTCTCGACGATCTCTGGGCCGAGCGGGGCCTGGCGGAGGTCCTCGACGACGTAGCCCTCGACGGCGGTTTTTTGGGGTCTTGGCGAGGAGTAAAACTCGAGCCCGTTTTGTCTCCAAGCCCTCGCAACATGCGCAAACATCCAGACCATCAGAACATGCCCCCATAAGACTCCGAAGCTTTTTTTGGCACTGCTGGGACTCTGGATTCTTGGGAAGGCCCTCGAGGTACTTCTTACCGATGTCGAAGGTCTGGTTGAGCTCCAGGGGGGAGATGCCGTCGTAGGCCTTCAGCTTGACATTGGTGGCCATGCACCACTCTCTGCAGTATCTGACCACACTCGCCGCTGCGCGGCTGAAGGGGTCCTTGTCAGGGTCTAAGGCCCAGGCCAGCTGCAGGCTGATCCCTGCCGAACTTAAACCTAGCGTCACAGCCCCGCGTCGTCTCAGCTGCTCGCCCTCTCCAGGCAACCAGCCCGCGATCTCCTCCCCGCAGGCGGGCCCAGGTCTGACCCCGCAGGAGTAGGCAAGCCTAGTTCGCCGGCGAATCTGTCGGTCAAAAAGGCAAGGGCTCCTCGCATCTGGCCGATCGAGCGCGGGAGAGAGTGGCTGCTACGGTTGAATCCGATATCACCGATGTGCATGTCCAGCGAGGGGCCCCAGCCCTGCGCGGCGAACCCCGAACCCACAGACAACGCGCGGCACTGAATCTCGAAGGTGGCCGCGCTGTCGCCCGCCACAACCCCCTGCCGCGGGGAAAGCACGGGCGAGGCCTGACCAGCCAAGATAAGCACTCGCGGCCACTGGTAAAATGCTAGAGCGTACTGTAATACAATTAGCGGATACTCAAAGCTGGCTGCGACCTCCGCGAGGCCCTCGTGTCGCGCATGTTCATGGCGCTGCTTCAGGTCACCGGTCACGCTGAGGATGCGCATGTTGCTGAGGTGCGCAGTGTCTCTCCCTGAAAGACTGCCTCCAACCTCACTCCGCCGCGCGCCTGCGTGGTGCTACGTTGAATGCGCCATGCTTCTGCGCAGTCTGCCCCCGCCGACGCATGCAGTCCACTTTTATATTCTACGCCTTAGACGTTGGTAGAAACCTATGGCTCTGAAGCCTTTCTTCGGCTTGGAGAATGCCGAAAATATCAAGATCTGAATCCAGGATGGCAGGTTGCCGCACAAGCGGGTCAACACATAAATCTTGCCGGGGGTCAACAGGCCTCCGTCCGAGATCGCAGCGAAGTGACGAGGGTGGAATCCGTCGATGTCGATCGCGCGTGTCTTGAAGGAGAGGGAGAGGCGTCTGATCTCGGCCGCCGCAAGCGCCCTGGGGATCGGGGTCGACGGCCAGAGCAGCGGCGCGCGCTTCCTGGTTTCCTGGGCATTCTACGCAAGAGCGGCTGTCGGGCAAGCCGCGGGTAGCCCATCTTCGCACGCGCGAAAAACCCGCCCCTTCATCTCCACCGCAGTCTTCGGAAAAAGCATGGGCCCATTTGGCCCATCCATCTAAAGCTTGTCCGCACCACTTGTTCCAGCTCTCGCAAGCCTTCCGCTCTTCCCTGGGCAAATGGCGCTGAGCAGTCCCCTCCGTCTCGGCCCCCAGAGCCTCTAGACCCCCGATGAGCTCTTCGAGCTTGCGCCCCCGGCATAGGCCTCCGTCCCCGGGGTGGGAGCGGCGCGGTCCTTCAGGGCCCTTCGCAGCACGATGGAGGGCCCGAAATAACTGGTGGAGATAGTTATGTTCCTAAGTCCTGCCACGGCTTCAAGCGGCGATAGCGAAGCAAAACCGGCGCGCGATGTCCAGACCTACTACGATGCTGATTCGTGGCAAGTAGCTGAGGTAAGGGAACTGCTTCAAATGTGCATCTGGGACCTCCTGGAGCCTCATTCTCTCGATGCATCTGACATGTATCTGAGCCCCCCCGCATGCTGCATGATGCCGACCCTTGACGGCCGCGTCACAAACCTTCTGGATCCTCTGGCGCTCATAATCTGCACTCGGCGCCACGTGCCCCTCCCCATTGGGCCCCGCGAAATCCTCCAAGAACCCGTCAATGGAGCCCTCGAGATACCCATGTTCTGGCGATCTGGTTCGGGGACCCCTGGGAGGGAGAGTGGTCTCTAGGATGCGAGGATCCAATCTGCGGCCCCCGCCTGAAATAAAAAGGGGAGGCCACGGGAGAGGAAGTGTTTCCGAGAGCCTGTGCAAGAGCGGCGTTCTCGCCGTTCAGCCCAACTCCGCCCCATCGACTAGTTGGAACAGATGCTGAGCACGCCGAAGTGCTTGACGCGAAATAAAATGTGGATCACTCTATGCGGCCATGCTGTGGACTCGCCGGCCTGCCATGCGCCCAAAGAGCCTCGGGCCAAAACCTTGATCATAAATAAAAGACTTAAAATCCAGCTGACATCCCACTACCCGCGCCATGGCCTCCCCCCCAAAAGGGGCGCCAACCTGATCGGAGAAGGGGCGCCTGAACTTCGGGAAGTTGCTGTCCCTGAAGTTGGAGCTCCTGCGCTGGGATGATGTGCCGAGCTTTCCTTGATGATGCGCTTGGCCGAGCCCCAGCCCGAGCCGTTCACTGTCAACATTTGGAGCCCCACCGCGCACTGGTGGCCCCTTTACTTGGACTGGTACTTCTTCAACTCCTGAGGTGCCTAGTCACATCGCCGTCGGCGCGGCTCCTGTGGCACCGTTCTCACAGCTGCGATTGCGGCCACGCGTGTCTCCTCCGTCGGCCCCGTCGATGAACTCTGCGCCGACCCCCCTTGCCTGGGCCCCCCTTGCCCTGTCCGCCGCCGCCCGCGCCGCTGCCCGCTGGGGCTGCGCGCCTCGCGGGGGCTGGTGGCGCCTCTCCTGGCGTCGGGCCTGGGGTTGCCGGCGAGGTCGGCGCCGCCGCCGCCGCGCTCGGGGCCGCCACAGGCTCGGGGGTTGTCGTCTGCGTCGAGGCCTGGGTCTGGATCTGCTGGATGGTGGTCACCAGCGTCTGCATGGACCCCAGCGGCGCCTGTTGCTCCGCCCCCGACAGCCTCGAGGGGAACATGGCGAGCTCCCCCATGAGCGACTCGATCGATCCCTGAGGCTGTGATGTGGTGGCAGTCGATGGGGTCGGGGCTGGCGCTAGCTTCGATACGACCAAGACCTGTTCCGCGATCTCGGTCTGGCACTCCGCTATGTGGGTCTCCTCCTCTTCGATATTCCCCCGCTTGGTCTGAATGGTCTCCTCCAGCTTCTTGCTATGATCCTGGATGACCTGGATGTTCTAGGTATGCTTGCTCATCGCCAACTGCGCCTTCAGGAGCTTCTGGTTAGCCACCATGAGTAGCTGGCCAAGCGTCTTCTGGGTATCGCGTTCCTGTCTGAACTGCTCAATGGCCTCCTCCACCTTCCGCTTGGCGATGGCACTCCCAGCTGTGTCCGAGGTTTTTGCCCAGCGCGTCCAGGAACTGCCGGCGCCTCGTGATATGGGGGCCTCGGTTGGCCGTCGCACCCCATGGTGGCGAAGGTGCCGTCCCCTGCATCGGATCATCTCCTGGCTGGTGGTGGGGGAAGCGCCTCAGTGGGTATCCGCCAATGAACACCGCACATCCTGCAGTAGTTCAGCCTGAGGTGGTTGTCCGCTTGACACTTCGTACACGTCTAGCTTCGGCATGAAGGCGGTGACCGCGGCGCCTCCCGCTTCGACTGGTATTTCTTGCCGACCGCTTTCTCGTTGCCCTTGTCCTTGCCCTTCTCCACACCCTTGTGCGAAGACTGATCGCGGACCCACGCCATGCGTAGGGTGTGTCTCAATATCCCACAGCACAACTAGCTGAGGGGATCGTGCGGGCAGGGAAAGAAAGTGCCAGCTGCAGGGCGGCCTGCCTCGGGCCAACCCCTCGGCTGCAGGCAAGTACGAAGCTGCAGGGCGACGGTTTCGTACTTGAGCCAAAATGGCTACGGACCCCTCCTCCTCCTCCTCCTCCTCCTCCTCCTCCTCCTCCTCCTCCTCCTCCTCCTCCTCCTCCTCCTCTCCCTGAGCGTTGCCCCTGATCGAGGACGCCACGTGCGAACCCTTTGAGACATCCTAGATGGGGTCGCAGTAGATGGGATCGGAGGATCGCGCCGCATCGCCGATGCATCGGTGACGCATCGGCGATACATCGGCCATGCACTGGCGACGTCGCCGATGCATCGGCGATGCGGCGCGATCCTCCGACCCCATCTACTCCGACCTATCTGGGAGGCCTCGAGGCAAGGAGATGAGCATCGCCACTGGCGTGGCCTTGGCCCCACTGGCCACTTTGCCTTCCTAGCCCCAGACCCCCTCGGGCCATGAGAAAAGCACGATGGGAGGCTCTTCTCTCTGTTCGGCCTCTGGGGACCCTTGCTGGGCCCCGGGGCCGTCAAGAGACGATTTAGAATGAGAAGCCGGTCCCAAAGAATGGGTCGAGACTTCTGGGGGCCGACGTCATGAAACAATCACGACGTCGGGGGCTCAGGGGATGGGGATGCGGGTTGCTCCCTTCGGGCTTCGAAGGGCACGTCCCCGACTCGGGGGGTGGGATGGTGGGGATCGGGATGGGGATTGGGATGGGGATAGGGATCGGTTAGACGATACTGATGATAGAGGGGGACCCCAGACATGGCGTTTAGGGTTTAGGGTTTAGGGTTTAGGCGCGTCGTGAACCAACGACTGGACATCCTGTGCCGTTCTTGGACTCTGGGGGCCCTCGCCGGGCCCTGGGACCGTCAAGAGGGACCCGGGAGGAAAAGCGCCGGCCCCGGGGAACGGGTCGGGACCTCGTGGGATCCGACGCTCTGCACAACTCATGACGTCGGGGGTATGGGTCTCATAGGGGGAAGCGCTGACCCAGAGAGTCGGCGATACATGGCCGAGGGATCGGCGAGAGGCCCCCGATGGCGAAGCCGCAGAAGGCCCTGGGCGGGGTGGGCCATCGGGTCCTCGGTGCATCCCCCCCCTGAGAGCCTCGGGCTCGGACTCGGACTGCAGAGTGCACGCCAGCGGGGGCGCTGCAGGCGGGCGCGATGTGGCGCCAGGGGTGTGAAACGAGGGCGGCGGCGGCCTCTGCGCCAGGTCGGCGGCGGCACCCCACTGCGATGCTGCGGGGGGGGGGGAGGGCGCAGGAGAGGAACGAGGGACGCACGACAGGCGAGGACGAGAGGCGAGGTCGAGGGAGAGAGGGAGGGACCCAGAGATCCGACGTCGTGAATTTTTCAATGCGCGGTCCCCCGAAGCCTCGACCCATTCCCCAGGACCGGTTTTTCATCCTATGAGTCGTTTTTTGACGATCCCGGGGCCCGGCGAGGTCCCCTAGAGGCCAAAAATCGAGAAAAACCTCCGTCTTGATTTTTGTTCAATACGTTGGAGGTCTGGGAAGGGACAAGCGCCAAGAGGCACGACGAAGGAGACGATCGAGCGAGAGAAGGGCCCCCCTATCGTTGCCCCTGCGGCCTGCAGCGGCGGGTGGCAGGCGCTCGCTGGCCGCTCCCGCTGCGGGGGCTGGGCCTTCGGAGGAAGAGAGGTACTGAGACGGTCCAGGGACCCACACACACACACACGCACACACACACACACACACACACACACACACGCACACACACACACACGCACACACACACACACACACACACACACACACACACACGCACACACACACACACACGCACACACACACGCACACAACACACACGCACACAACACACACACGCACACACACACACACACACACACACACACGCACACACACACACACACACACACACACACACGCACGCACACACACACACACGCACACACACACACACACACACACACGCACACACACACACACACACACACACACACGCACGCACACACACACACACACACATACACACCACACACACACACACCACACACACACACACACACGCACACGCACACACACACACACGCACGCACGCACGCACACACACACACACACGCGGACGCACACACACACACACACATTTCGGAACGGGCGAAAGGGGGGGACAGCAAAGGGGGGGTTGAGAATCAGCTCACGCACGCAGCCAACGTTCCCGGCGCCGGGAGGCAGGCTCCCATGTATCGAGGAATGGGCCCCTCGGTGGGGCCGAAACCAGCTGCATGCAGCAGATTTCGTAACTCCCTTTCCATATCCCCCCCTTTCGTCCGGCCCGATCCAGGGACACACAAATTCGCCGGCTCAACGGGCCAAGGGCATGCTAAGATCTCCGGCAACTGGTCAACAATAGTTTTAGTTCGCGCGCGCGGGGCCGCCCCTGCAGGGTCCCCGGACGAAAAGTACCCCCGCAAATCCCGGACAACCCGGCCAACCCCCGACCGGATCCCGTGCATGTCCCGGCCAGGTCCCAGCAGGCTCCCTAGAGCGCTCCAGGAGCGCTTCAAGTGGCCTGCAGGAGAGCTCAGCATGGTCCGAGACGGTCCAAGAGCGATCCAAGACACAAATGATTGCCTCCAGACAGCCCAAAGCGCCTTCAAGACGCCCCAAGAGGCCTCCAAGAGGCCTCCCAGGATGGCCCACAAAGGCAGAAATTAGTGATCTTCCTTAAATTTCTGACAGTTTTGGGCGCTCTCGCCTTTTCGGCTTACCGGCGCTCCAAGACGGCCCAAGAGGCTCCCAAGACCGCCCCAAGGGCCCAAGATGGCCCCAAGACAGCTCAAGAGGCGCCCAAGACAGCCCAAGAGAGCCCCAACAGCCCCAAGAGGGGCCCAAGAAGGGGACCAGGAACCGAAAAGTCCAGCCTTCAGCCCCAAGAGGACCCCAGGAGGCCCCCAGAGGCCCCCCAGAGGCCCCAAGGGGCCTCCAAGAGGCACCCCAAGAAGCCCCAAGAGGCCCCCAAGAGGCCCCAACACGGCCCCCCAAAGGCCTAAAAACTGCCTCCCAAAGGCCCCCGAGAGGCTAACCACGAGAGCCCAACCAACATCCGTGAGGCCTCTGACCCGCCACCCACCGCCTCCGAAAAATAGCAGCCGCCCAACCGCACCGCATTGACAACAACACCTCGACAAACGACAGCGGCGAGGCACGATGGGCCGGCGGAATGAGCGAAGCGATTAACACATAGAAACAACTCCCAGGAGTCCCAATATGACATGTTCCAATGTGCTATGGGTTTTCGCCTCCGCCCCCACTTCCCATATTTTCCTGCATTTTCCTGGGAGTCGACGAGTCACTGTGTCTGTGTGTATTTTCCCTCTCCTGAGCTACGAGGACGGCGCCCGTGCACCGCATCATGTTTGGACTTCCTTACGGCCCCGCTCGAGAGCGGTACGGTGCCTTTGGGTGCTCACTCCGGGGGCCCTTGTGAGGAGCCCGTCGCTCCGCTCGTGCGTCGGAGCTGCGTCGAGCGCCCGTCGGCTCGGGTCGAGCCTGAGTCGAACCTGAGTCGAACTGGAGTCTCGGGGGCCCTCAAACGGGGTGGTGATCACACCGTGCGGTGAGTCGGTGGGGATTCCGGGTCACCGCACGGTTTTGGGACTCGAGTCCTTCTCCGAGGATGTCTCGGGCGACGGGGGCCTCCAGGGTCCCAAAACCGTGCGGTGACGGACCGTGCGGTGAGGTTTTGGGGGATTTCGAGGTCACCGCACGGTCCGTCACCGCACCGTTTGGGGACTCCAAAGAGTCGACCGTATCCATTGGGTGGGCCCCGGCAAGGCCCCCAAAACAAGCATCGAGGTGCACAGTTTCTTGGCCGAGGTGGCGGGAAGCGATGCACCGCACCATGCCTGGGCCGAGGGTCCACGACGCCGCGAGGGGCGCCGCCGCGCCACGGTGCACGCACGTCGCCCGCGGATGAGAGAGCTGGTGCCGCTGCCGTGGCCCGCCCTTTGGCTTCCACGAGCCCTGGCTCGCCTCGAAGTCCTCGGGGGTCCCCGAAACCGCGTGGTGACAGACCGCGCGGTGACCTCGAAACACCAAGAGACCTCACCGCGCGGTCCGTCACCACACGGTTTCGAGACCCTGGAAGCCCCAAATTGCCCAGGGCATCCTGGGAGAACGATCCGAATCGCAGAACCGTGCGGTGACCCCGAATCCCGCCTGACTCACCTCACGGTGTGATCACTGCACCGTTTGGGGCCTCCTTGGGATCCATGTCCCGCTCGTTCGAATCGACGCTCGCCCAACGCGCATTGTGGGTCGGACACGATGGGTGCAGGCACGCGTCCAACCAAGCATGCTTGGCCGCAGGCTCGCGCATCGGAGTTGGGAGAGTAGGGAACGCGAGGACGAAGGCAGGAAGATACCTGTGGCCTGCGTTCCCTGCATCATCGCTGCCCCCGGCAGCCCCCGCCCCAGCCCCACCCCTCCCGTGCGCTGCAACCCGCGGAACGCTGAGGAAGAGCTGATGCCGATGCCGCTGCCCGCCTCTCGCTTGCCGCGGCCCCCCCCCCCGCCTCGAATCGGGAGCGGCCAAGAGGGGGGTGTCAAAGATGGGGGGGGGTGCACATCATGGCCGGCGGCACGTGCGCGGCCCAGCGGGGGGGCCGGGAACGTAATGAAACAAGAGGAGGCGCCCTGAAATCTGGGGAAATATCATGGCCCCCGCCGTGATATCCACACCCCCCTAGTCATCACCCCCCTCTTTTCCGCCCCCGCCTCGAAGTGCAGGGCAGGGAGGAGGAGGAGGAGGAGGAGGAGGAGAAGGAGGAGGAGGAGGAGGAGGAGGAGGAGGAGGAGGGGGGGAGGAGGAGGAGGGAGAGGAGGATCCGCCCCCGCCTCGAAGTGCAGGGCAGGGCGCGCCCCGAGAGAAGCCCGGGGAGCCGCGGCAGAGGCACGGCCACCGCGCTGCCAGGAGGGCCGCGCTGCCGGCCACGGCGGGCCTCGGCCACGAAGGGAGCGCCCGCCGCCGCCGGTCGAGCACGGGCGGCCCGAGCGGAGCGGGTGTCGGCCTCCTCCTCCTCCTCCTCCTCCTCCTCCTCCTCCTCCTTCCTCCTCCTCCTCCTCCTCTCTCCTCCTCTCTCCTCCTCCTCCTCCTCCTCCTCTCCTCCTCCTCCTCCTCCTCCTCCTCCTCCTCCTCCTCCTCCTCCTCCTCCTCCTCCTCCTCCTCTCTCTCTCTCCTCCTCCTCTCCTCCTCCTCCCTCCTCCTCTCTTCTCTCCCTCCTCCTCCTCCTCCTCCTCCTCCTCCTCCTCCTCCTCCTCCTCCTCCTCCTCCTCCTCCTTGCACATCCCAGGAGCCCAGAGTGGTCCTTATCTCAGCCGTTTGGCTGTAATTACTTGCACGGCAGGTTCAAGCGGCGTCAGCGCACGCGACGGGTCTTTGACACCTGCTCGATCGTTCCAACCCTGAACCGATCGCGGCCCCGATCGTTCATGGTCGAGTTCTGTCGGGTCCCGTGGCGTTGCCGTGCCCCTCGGTGTCTCTGCGTCGCTCCATCTTGCGGAAGTCAACCTTACACGGTCGGGGTCGCGATCGGTTCAAGGCTAAACGATCGAGGCGGTGTCAAAAACCGTCGCGTGCGCCATCGCCGCGTGAACCTACCGTACCTGCTTTACCTCCCCAGGCCTTGCTGGCGTCGCCAGGGCCCTCTTTGTTGTTGGGGCCTCGCTGCTGCCTGGCCGACAAGGGCCGGCCGCGACTCGCCGCCGCCGGAGGCGACCACGGCACCGGCAGCTGCTCCGAGCCGCTGCTGCGGCCGGAGTCGCGGCGCCGCGTTGGGTCCAGCTGGTCGTCTTTCCCGTTGCGAGCTGGCCGAGTGACGCGGGGGGGGACGTCAGTGGGGGGTCCGGCTCCGGGGGGGAGGTGTCGGCGCGAGCGAGGTGGGAAAGTGAGAAAACAAGAAAAAGAACACTTCATCTCTCTTTCTCTCTCACAGAAGGTGGCGGGGCTTCACAAAAGCCCTCCGTCTGAGAAATTTGTTTTTTTTCTGCGTCTTCCGGGAAGGCTTAGAAAAAAACTTCTTGGAAGGCCTGGCGACTTCAGACACAGACATGCAGCGCCGTGATGTTTTCAGGACGTCGCCCCTGGAAGTCCCGACCCCTCCCCCGGGACCGGTTTTTTCGTCCTGAGTCCTTTTGCTGACGGCCCCGAGGCCCGGCGAGGGCACACCCCGAGGCCGAACATGACGACAAGCCTCCCGCCCTGACTTTTTTTTTTACGACGCCATCCTGTCTGGGGAGCCTTCTGAGCAGGCCCGCCCCTTCCCGCTCCGCCACCGGGCTCGGCCGCCACCATGTCTGGGGAGCCTTCCATAACGACAAGCCTCCCGTCCTGATCTCTGTACGGCGCCACCATGTCTGGGGAGCCTTCCGAGAGGGCCCGCCCCTCCTCGCTTCGCCCACGGGCTCGGCCGCCGAGGGGGGGAGCCTTCCGAGCAGGCCCGCCCCTTCCTAGGAAGGCACCAACTATACACCAACACCGATCCTGGCCAGGATCACCCTGGGCCCAGGATCGGTGTATACGCCCTCCTGCCTTGGGCAAGAAGGCATATACACCGATCATGGGCCCAGGGTGATACTGGGCCAGGATCGGTGTTGGTGTATAGTTGGTGCCCTCCGACCTTCCCGCTCCGCCCCCGGGCTCGGCCGCCGAGAGGGGGGGGGGCGCAGCGGGCCTGGGATCGGCGGCGCGTCGCCGATATGGATCGGCGAGAGGCCCCCGGTCACGAAGCCCGCAACGGGGGGACCGTGGGCGGGGGGGGGCTACCGCGGGCGATCCCGGGGTGGTCCTGGCTACACCTGCCAGGCCACCCCAACCTAACTCGAAGACCCGAACTTCGGGTTGGGGGGGGGTGCGGGCTTCACATCTGTTTTGTTCACTGTTCCCCGCCCCCCAGCGGCAGCGGTCCGCCCGGTGGTCCTGGCGACCTGCCAAACCACCCCAGCCCAACCTAGGGGGAAAACAAGCCTGCCTCGCTCTTGACCGCCTTCGCTTCCAAGAGATACCAGACGATGCCAAATTGCGGCCTGTACTGGTCAGGCCGCTTGACGAGGAGGCGCGTGGTATGGCTTGGTTTTGCCTGGAAGCGAAAGCGGGGTATGTAATTCACGCTCTGACAACCCGAAGACCCGAATTTCGGGTTGGGGGGGTGCGGGCTTCACATCTGTTTTGTTCACCGTTCCCCGCCCCCCCCCCTCCCACTAGTGGAAATGGAGGGGGGCAAGTCGGGGCCTTCGGGTTGGGTTGGGGTGGCTTGGTGGGCGGTGAGATTCGGGGTCCGTGCATCCCCCCCCTTTGAGCCTGAACTTAGGTCGGGCATGTCCCCCTACAGGCGGATTCGGGACGAAGAATCAAAAAGACCCTAAAAAGACTTTGACATAGTAGAACAAACAAAAATCGCAAAAAACGTTCCCAGACTATTCTGGACTATTTTTGAATTCTCCTCCTGTAGAGGGACACGCCCGACTGAAGCCTGCCCCCCCTGACGCAGCCCCTGATGACGGAGTGCGGACCGCGGTCGTGGCTGCTGGCCACGCGGGGCTGCCTCGGCAGTGGATCGATGCCGGGAAGCGCCTGGGTCGCGCTGCTGCGGGCCGAGGCCCAGGGGGCCGCTTCTTCTGCCGGCCGCGTGGTGCCCATGCGTGGACCTTGGTTGCAGTCTGGCCCCCCCCCTCGTCCTCGAACCAAAACGGCCGTGGCCCAGGGGATGAAGCCGTCCCAAGCTCTGGGGCACAGGGAAACCTCGCCCTCTACGGGCAGCTGAAAAGATCCCCACGCAGGTCATTCAGGGCAAGGTGTGCGAAGAAAAACCGTGCATCAGTGGGCGAGTCGGACCGCGGAGTTGTAGAAGGACGCATTTCTGACTTGGCAGCGACGTCGACGGGGCATGTGGATGTGCTGTCATCGCTCCATCCATAGACCGCCGTAATCCCACCAGTCTTGCGGGCGCAGGTTGTGCAACAAAATCGTTCACCCCCCCCTTCTCTCCTTGGGGAAGGGGGATCATTGAGCAATATGAGCCACATCCCCTTCCCCACTTAACCGAGGGACGCCCACCAAGAACAATACGCCCACCTTCCACCAGTCCTGCAAACAAGCAAAACAACACACACGTGGCGGCAACGTAAGGATCATAAGCGGGCCCCCCGCAAGCTCGGAACATGTGTTTCCGACCGGGGAGGCAGAGAGGACACATATTTGTCCGCTGTGCGCTGGCCCGCTAGCCCTTCTCAACAGCAAATGCACAATGCTGGTGCGCATGTCATGCACCACGACGGCTACCCCGCCTCCACTTCACCTACCGTTGCTCAAATTATGTAGGCGTGCCGCTGGATTGCTCGATGCGTGCGGAAATTCGCATTGGCGCACCAGGCGCTCTCTGCGCGCGTCGCGCATGTGGTGCGGCTTAATCAAAAATGCCCGTCCCGTCGGCCATGCGCCATGTAGAAGGCATGGGGATGCATGGTAAAATTTGAGAGCGAAAGGAAACGGATTGGGAACAAATGGGTTCAGACTCTCGGACATAAGCACATCCATGCGCATTCGCATATAATGCGCGCGGCTTTTTCGGCACCTGAACCCCAATGACGGCGGGATGCTACTCTGTACGCCGGTCCAGAAACCCTCCACAAGGTCCCCCCAAAGTCGGGAGGAGAGGAAGCAGGCGCAGGCGCATATATCTAGCAAACTAGATGGGTAGAACATGCACAATACTGACAGCAAAGTAGAAGGAGATGCAACAGGCGAAAGGCCTGGCGCGCACGGCCCAAAGGGCATGATCGCCCTGAGCAATGACACGATTCTGTGTGTCTAGCACAGGGCCGTATTCCGCCCACGACGGGCGCACTCACCCAGATCGGAGCATTAATTTCCTTCGCCAGCCATCAACGGCATCGCGCAATCGTTGAGTTGGCTTCCTTTAGCGCAAAAAAAACGCGCGCATGCAGGCGGCTGGAATATACGAGTGCGGGGCGCGCTCTACAATATAAGATCACGGCTCTCCCCCGCGCACGTCGACATGGGAAGGGGGGGGGGGGGCCTTCCCAGCAGGCGCGCAGTCTCCCCTCGCGCAGCGTCAACTAAGTTTGTCTAATGTAAGGTCGGCTGTTCGTTGCCTCCGAGGCTGTCCGAACATCGCGCCTGCTGCGCGCGCGAACGAGTTGCCCCGGAATGGGGCAAGCGTTTTGAATTCATGAATGAACTGTGATTTGCCCAACACTACTTCCAACATCAACTCGCTGTCAATGTCATCTCTTCTATGTCTGACTGCAGTCGCGTCGCGTGAGTCTAACCGCGGCACGTCATGCACGACGCCTTCTCCCATCATTTCGCGCGCGCAGCTGCCGCGCCCATGCAATGAACGCTCGGCGGGGGAAGTTAAGTCCATACTCGAAAACGCTTGTTAGACTGATTCCGCGTAGATAATCAGCAATGCCGCGATTGGCACCCCGACTAGCTCGCCGATGCATCGAAGGGCTTCTGGCGCCAGCGGACTAGACTCTAATTCGTGCAGCGTGGTCAAAGTCGGCTAGCATTAACCCAAGTGGCGAGCCGCTGCGAGAGCTCCGATGGCCTAATTTGACAGACTTTGTAGCCATTGAGATTCGTAGCGACCGGCGACTAGATGCCTGGCGAGCTCGCGCGATCCCCCGCGCGATGAGATTGACACCGCGCGCGCCATATCCCTTCTCACCACCGCCTCCCTCGACGGAGAACCCCTGGCATGCCAGATCGCCCCGCGCGTCTGCTTCCCCCGATATTTTCGTCTGAGGGTCAGTGGTATTTTGGGGTCGCTGATGAGCTTCCTCGCCGCAGCACTGAGCCCCCTCGCCTGCGTGCAAGTGCGCTCTCGCACCCTGCGCGGGGGGCGCAACGCGTGCCGCGGGCCGAACTTGCGCGCGGAACGCATCGGCGAGCGCCCGCCGTAAACTGACGGACGCACCTGCCGCGATGGAAAGCTTCGTCGTCATGTTCGACGCCAGCGACATCGGCGCGCATGGTTGGACGCAATTGTTCAACGGGCCTGCCCTGGCCATGCGCTAAATCGCTCGTCTCCGTCTCGGCAAACCTCGCGGCGCAGCTGGTGCCAATGTATTTGTTCAATCTACAAGCTCGAGATGCATGTTTCTATTCTTCTAGCGCAGTCGTTGAAATGCTTCTCGAAATCCGAATGCGCTGACGTCGCTCGCCCGTTCCGCCATCAGAAGGTCGCGCCCGCGTTCGATCATCAAAACCCGCGGGCTGGAATCCAACATTGCGCGTCGCGCGCCCTGAACTCCGCGACGAAAACGCGCGGGGCGCCCGCGGCGCCGGCGCCCGGGGTCAAACGCTGGGGGGGGGGGGGGCCTCGTCGAAGCGGGCAAGCCTTGGCAGCGCGCGAAGGACCCGCGCGGCACCAGAGGGCAAAGAAAAACATGCCATGCGCCCTGCTCTCCCGCAGCTTCCGCCAGCTCGGCCTAGGTCAGCCCGTTCAGGCATGAACTGTCGGCGCCCATGGAAGCAAATGCCGACTTGAGATGGCGCGCCGAGTCCAAAGACTGCTTCCACGTGCTCGGCGAAGTCGCATAGCGCGACTAGCTTCGCCATTGGATCATCAAGTGGAATCCAACATGTATACGTAACGTAATGTCATGATGCCACTGGTAACAAGTATGTCCTGTATGTCTGAAGAGTGCTTGCGTATCCAGACCATGAGATCGTGGGACAATGCTTCGCGTACCTTCTCGGGAACATGTTACGCCTTTCTGCGTCAAGCGACCATCCACCGTGCCAGTTGAAGCCCTTCTAGCAACCAGACAAAATATACTTGAGGTGATTCCGTCATGGTCAGGAGCTTCTGCTTCTGCAATCAATTCCTCATACTGTCGGCGATGCCTTCTAGGTCATGCCGGATGCGAAACAAAATGCGAGACATGTCCCATAGTTGTCTACTGACAGAACGTAGTTCTCGTCAAGATCCGAGGGCCAGAAGGGCATCGCATGCTCCTCTGAGCTGAGCCCTCTCGTGGGTCCCCAGGTTCGTCGTTCCCGGCGGATATCAGCACGCAGTCGTCCGCAGTCATGGTGGCTGGGATGTCTGTGGAAACATCGCTTTCCTCAGCCGCTAGCTGTTGATCTGTTTCCAGTCCCTGAACTATCTTTGCATGATAGCAGTCGACAGGGACGGTCGACAATCTACCTTCATCGGCTTCTGCTGACGCCATGGGCGACTCAAAAGAATGGGGGCCGCCACAGGTCCATCCGCGACTACCTGGGCGTCCGTCACCCAGCTCGTGAGATTGTGCCACAGCTTCGTTCAAGTTAATCCGGGGCTTATGTGAAATGAGGCACCGGACGAATATCGAACGGCTATTTCCAACGCCCTCCCAAATATCTAATGCTGCAAAATTTGATTCGTAATCGTGGAAGCCGAAACGACTGTTGCTGCGGTCGTGTATCAAAGTGCTCCCGTCTGCATGCTTGAATGCTGGGACGGACTGCGCACTCGATGCCACTGTGACACCAATGACGTTCTCGATCCTACAAGTGTGTATTGGTAATTGATGTAGAAACAAGCGACTTTTGGGTGACATATTGTTTTCAGTTGTAGTCATGGAGTATTTTTCGCATGTGGGATGCAGCCCATGGTCAAAGCAAGTGTCCCCGCACTTATTCCCGATATGAGCGTAATGATGATTCTCCTGGTCATGCCATTGAACCCCATTTGTACTTCACAAAAAACTCCTACTGATAGTGCGTGGCGAACGCCAAGATGTTGGACAACGGCCTGCCGGCCTGCAATTCCAGCAATTATTTGTCCGTTTTCGGTTTCTTCTATGGACGAAGGGATATAAGCCATACTGCCGTCTTTGCTGGCAACGGGGCGGCGATACTCTACTAAGCTTCCAACCTTGAACAGGCTATGTCCGTCTGCCTTTGTTTTGGTACTTAATGCCCAGTTGGTCTTGGCCACTGCCGTGGCTGGTGTAATCGTTCCAGTTAGCTGCCTTGTCCTATATTTTCCCAAGTTCCACAGCATGGTGTATTCAGATCAGGAAGCATGTGTGGCTGTCGCCCAGTATGAGATTGGCATGGCAAAACTCAAGCGTGGAAAGCGAAGACACTGCAAACGAGGGACACTTTCGCTAAACGGCGAGTGGAGTTCAGAAAAACGCCGTGGTTTTTTTCAAACATTCATTCCTTCATCGTGTGTAACGTCGTCCGTAGCATGCCGCTTCGCACTTACATTGTCGTCGCATGCTGGCCTGGCGTACGTAGCCGACGTTCGGCGCACATGCTCTAGAATGTAACTCTCGCAATGTCAACACGATGCGCACACCATCCATTTGAGCGGATTACCCCGGCAAGGACGCAAATAGCAACCCAATTCTGATGATCTGCAATGAGGACGCGTTACCGCTCTTTGTCTGGAATTTGCTAGCCAACACCACATCGTATGCAGCGATCCGTGTTGTGGGAGATTGACACCACTTACAAAAAGATCATATCACTCTGTCTGATGGTTACACGCGCCAGGTAAGATCATCGATGGCAGTGTGGAGACCCCAAGTGTTCCCCAAGCGCGGCATTTCCTGCGCGTGAGGCCGTGCGGTGTCAAGTACAGCATCTTCGAACATACATGGCATAACCCTGTGCCGCGGAGAATAATCCCACAGGGATATAAAGTTCGGGGTCGCGGAGGGATTATAAATGTTGCCCACCGGAGGCCAGCATGAAGAGATAATCAAGAGGAGCGAAAGCCGAGGATATCTTGAGACATCCTTGGCTTTTGGCCCTCTCTGAGACATCCTCAACAATGGCTTGTCTCGCTTGAGACATCCTCGACAATCTCTCGTTTCGCATGAGACATCCTCCACACCATGGAGAAAGAAAGAGAAAGAGAAACAGAGAGAGAGAGGTTGAGAGGGACAGAGAGAGAGGTTGAGAGAGAAATATAGAGAGGTGGAGAGAGAGAGAGAGAGAGATACAGAGGAGAGGAGTAGGAGGAGGTGGGCCCAGGAAAAATCCAAAGTTCCAAACCTATTACGTTTTAAGTGTAAACGCTTAATGGAAATTCAGGTGTTCATCTTCTCGTGTAGGGTCGCTCATCTGCCTCGTTTTCCCTGGATAGTAAACCGCAGCGATAAAAAAAGTGCAGGGGGCCACGGGGAGAAGGAGAAATAGAGAGAGAGAGAGAAAGAAAGAAAAAAAGAGACAGAGAAATAGAGAAAGATCGAGAGAGGTTGTGAGGGACAGGGAGAGAGAGAGAGAGAGAGGTTGAGAGAGAAATATAGAGAGGTGGAGAGAGAGAGAGAGAGAGAGAGGAGAGGAGTAGGAGGAGGTGGACGAAGGAAAAATCCAAAGTTCCAAACCTATTAGATTTGAATTGTAAACGCTTAATGGAAATTTAGATTTGCATCTGCTCGTGTAGGGTAGCTCATCTGCCTCGTTTTCCCTGGATAGTAAACCGCAGCGATAAAACAAGTTCAGGGGGCCACGGGGAGAAGGAGAAAGATACAGAGAGAGAGAGAAATAGAAAGAGAAAGAGAGAGAGAGACAGAGAGAGGTTGAGAGACACAGAGAAGAGAGAGAGAGAGTGAAATAGGTAGACAAAGATAGACAGAGAGAGAGGAGGAGGATTAGGAGAAGGTTGGTTTCGCTTGAGACATCCTGAAACAAAGCGTGTTCGCTTCGCTTGATGTTGCTATCTCAACATAAGAAGGAAGTAACCTCGATGGCGAACTTTTCACAGTGATCATGAAGTTTGGCCTCCGCGCCCCGGGCCCCCGACCAAACTCTTCTTGGCCGTGGATAATCAACGGTAATATGTTAAGGGGAGGGGGTACTTTATTATCCTCGGCATGTGGTTAGCTGGATCTTTCGCGTGGTGTCACCTCAAATGTGGCGTTAGGCCCCGACGGACTTTAGATGGATGGCCATCAGAAAGTAGGGGTGAAACATTGTTGTTCTTACACTTGCCTTGTCAAAACTACTCGTTTTGACATCATTTCTTGCTCGGTCCTTCATATACCTGGAACAAATGGAAACAAACAGCCAGAACTGCAAACCTTCGATGTGTCTTACTTACGGGGACTTGGGAAGAAAGGCGGAGCAAGTGATACAAAACTTGATGGACTTCGGAAGACGCCATCGCCGTGCTGCACATGTTCATCCAATCACCTTTCAAAAGCGTAAACCGTGTGGGATCAGGGAGGTAGGAATCCACACGGTTGGGTCCGTATACAAGCCACGCGGGTGCCACGAGCTAGATAGCCACGTGGAGGACAAGCGACGCGGCCACATAGACACATGTCAGATCCAACTATCGCCCAGGCTGGCCACGCCATGGTTACATGAAACCTCTTGGAAATCAACTTTGCATCAGGATTGAACGGCCTTTGGTTTCGGTCTATCGGCACTCCTCCTCCTCCTACTGTCCCGCCCAGGTCTTCTCGGCCTGACGATATATATGAACTCGTGGCGCAGCCACTAAGTCGAACAACACCAGACAAGAAACGGCCGTCGGCGAAAGTGTGGACACCACACCGCACCACATGGTGTACGATGGTAGTAGTGGGTAAGGAACTATTGGATGAGGATCCCAGGTTTGGAGGCCAGTGGAACTCCAATCGTGGACTGGCCATGGATATCACCACCGCTCTCATCAGATAAGGAATCCCCTAGGGTCTGAAGCCTCCTGGGCATAATTATTCCTGACCCAACGCCGCCACCGTAATATGGGCATCTTCCCAGGCAGACCACAACACAGCGACACACCATCACATCATCACAAGACGGCCTGTGCGAACGCGCAGAGGGAGAAAGGAGCAGCGAACATCGGCAGGGAAATGCGTATTGGCGCACCGGGCCCCTCGAGTGCAAGCGCTGTGGTAGGGTTGGGGGAGCAGACGCCTTGACACGCCCGAAACAGGTACGAACAACTGGGCACGATGCCCAATAGCGAGTGCTGTCCAGAACCGACAGCGGACGCCCTGGACAGGCACTTTTTTATCTCAAATGGGCAACTTCCGTGGCGACGCCGACAAGAAATCGAGACGACGGGAAACAACATGTCAGCGGCCCGCGAATATACCACAGGATTGCGATTCAGGTGGGCGCGAGTTCTTCGAGGCATGTCAATCCCGACCTCTGCTGAATGCACGAATTCCTCCAAACTGTGCAAGCACCGTGCCCTCTGTACACCCTTCCATACAATTGCCTCGCAACAGAGGGGCAGTGGATTCCAAAATCCTGTTCAAACTGGACAAGAATTGAGCAGGGACCGACCGTCCCGGCATTCCTATAGTCATACCACGAACTGTTCTCAGAACCCAAAAATGTTCTAATAACAAAAACAATGTTCTTATAACATAAACCCGATGTGTTAAAACAAGACAGTCCCGGCCAGAAATGTTCAAAGAACCTTTCGTGGAATCCACAAGAAGTTCTTAGAACATTGCTTGGTAGGGCTATAGGCGAGCCAGGACGCTTCGCCGCTGCTTGAAAGAAGTGGCGTCAATGTTCGTCCCAATTCTGTCTGTATCCTTTCGATCGTTCCGAGGGAAGCAGCAGGACGGCGCGGGCTGCACAGACCAGCCCCGACCACTTCGAGCCGTGCAGCAGAGAGTGGGTGGTCGCTGCCTGCCCCGGCGGTCGCCCTGCCAGCCCGGCCAGGGCCAGGAGGCAGTGCATGGACAATCCCCCCGAACAAAATACAGGGAGGCTTGAGAGTTGCATACGTGCTGCTGTTTAGTGTTGGGGTGGGCATGGTCGGGAACTTGTGCCTAGCCCGTGGCAGCGGCGGCCTGGGCGACGCTCCATGCTCTGGGAAGCGGATCGCGTGTCGCTCTGCTTCGTGGAGCTGGAGGCTGGGAAGAGATCGGGACGTCGACGCTCGGAAAAAGGGGAAAAGGCTAGCGTGCCGCGACGAGGCGTGGTGGGCCAGAACCAGCGGAACGAAACGCTGGGCAAACATTGCCCCAGCAAAGCACCCTAATAGCAGGAAAGATGAGGAGGCAGGTCGAGGAGTGGGAGGTCGGCCAGAAGGGACGGGGGTGAATGCACGGTCATGTCCACCGGAATGGTTCTTTGACCATGGATCCTGGCCGTCCGGACCAAAAATGTAGCCGGCATCGACGCGAAAGAGAGAGTCGGGGAATCTCGCGCGAAACGGCGGCTGAACCGGGCGATCTGGGGCTCCCCGTCCCCCGCGTGGGACTCTTCTGCGGTCCCTTTTTTTCCATCATGAGAACCCTCTGGCGAATGTGGGGTGGGTAAACTCTGCTTGCTGGATCGACCCCCCTTCAAGCAGCGCGCCGCGAAGAGCGCGAACCGCGGTCCTCTTTGCTCCGTCGCGCCGCCTCCTGCAGCAGAACACCTCTCTGGCCTGGACCGTCAAGAGCGAAACTCGGTTATCTTGGTGATCCGGCTGGGTGACCTTGGTTTGGCCACGGGAGGTCACCGCTAGGGGAGTCGCCACCACCCACAACCGAAACTATCAGCAAGAAAACTACCCTGTAAGACATCTGGGACAGCGTCTGGAAAATTTCCTGAAACAGGTCTGGGATCATTTCTGTTGGTGACGCTGAAGGGCAGACGTGCTCAAGAAACTGGGCCACTTTTCCAGCAAAATAATGAAGAAACGCTAGCCCGGCTTGTCAGGAGTAGGCTTGGGTCGGGCATGTCCTCCTACAGGCGGAGTTCGAAGGAAACACAACGAATAGTCAAACAATACCCCCAAATGGTCAAACATAACAAATCGTCCCGATACTTTATGTGACTATTTTGAGTGTTCCTTCTGTAGAGGGACAGGCCCGACTTAAGAGTGGGCTTCCCAATCCGATGCTCGACTGTAGTGGAGAAGGGTTGGGCTCGGGAGGGGGGGGGGAATAAGGACCCCGCCGCATCCTTGGCAGAACCACCAGAACCAACCAGAGCCGCCCCAATCGCCCAGAGGCGTTCAGGAACCTCCACGAGTCGCGATGCCCTCCATCGGGTCGATCCTCGACCCTGTGTCGGGGGCGCGCAAACGTGGATTGGCGATCCATGGATCTAGCGCGCGGTCGCCCAAGTCCATGGATCGGGGGAGGTGCCCTTCCCGAGATGCAGCCGGTGCCGCCTCGCTCGGCGGCGGAAGTCCGCGATTCCCCCTGGAAGCAGGACCCGTCGCTGATCCACGCCCCCTTGAAATCCAGATTTGCGATCGCTGGAAAGGAGAGGTGGCGACCCCCCCCCCTTCGAGGGTTGGTCCCCCCGGGCCTGTCTGGCACGAGCGCGCCACATCTGCGGGCCGCGGCCGAGCGGTCGCCGGCATGGAGGCCAGGGTCAGTGCCACTGTGGGAGGTCGGCAAGGGGTGTGGCATAAAGGGGTCGGGTGCCAAGCGTGGGAATGGCGATGCTATCTGGAAAGAACAACATCGCCAGGTTCCCATGACACGAAAATAGCAGCACTCCCCTTCATACCATACCCCTGTCCTACCCCCCTCCTCCTCCTCCTCCTCCTCCTCCTCCTCCTCCTCCTCCTCCTCCTCCTTTTCCTCCCCCTCCCCCTCCCCCTCCCCCTCCTCCTCCTCCCCCTCCTCCTCCAGGAGTGCACGCGCGTGCGGCCAATCCGCTGGCCATGCCGGCGCGTGCCGGGGCTGCTCTCAGGAGAAGTCCGCGCCGGACAGGACCGCCTTCGCCTTGGTCAGGGAGTCGACCTCGCCCGCGCGCGCCTCTTTGCGCACCTCGAAGCTGGACAGGAGCCAGTCGCACTCGAGGTGCAAGTCCTTGATGAGTGTCTCCTTCATGTACATGTCCTTCACCGTGTCCTTGTGCTCCTGCTTGGCATGGGTGAGAGAAGCCTCCAGCGCAGACTTTTCACCCTCCTTGTCGGTCGTGGCCTTGGTGTCCGTCGCGCGCTTGGCGGCGGCGCCCGCCACGTACTCCTCGTACTCCTCCTGCGCGTCCTTCTCCTCGGTCTTTGCCGCGACCATCTCCTTATCGAGATCGGTGATGAGGAGGTCCATCATCGCCACCACGCCACCCCCCTCCTGGTCCCTCTTCTGGTAGGCTCCCCAAGTCTCCGGCGGCGGCCCCGGGTTCGCCGACGTCTGCGTCATGCTCATCTCCGACTCGTAGATGCGGTCCATGGTGCTGCGTTCTTCCCGCGCAGGTGGCTTGTACATCTTCGGCGCGTAGAACTTCGCCAATCGGTTTTTGGCCATCTTGAGGATCTCCTTGGCGGCCGTGTCCATTTGCATTACCTTCTTGTACTCTGCGTTTTCCTGCTCGCGGATCAGGGTCGCCTCCTTGACGGCCTGGTCCAGATCTTTGATTCCCTTCAGCAGCGCCGAGATTTCCTGCGCCAGGGTGGAGGCAGACTCCTTCATGTCATCGATCGTCTTGTCCAGATCACTCAACTTCACGCCAAGCACCTTCTTGTCGTCCTCCGCGGTATCCAACTCCTTCTCGCAGTACGACTTCTTGCCGTCATCCGCCTCCTGCTCGTGCGCGAGCAGGCTCACCATATCGTCGATCATCTTCAGCACCTTGTCGAAGCCCTTCGCCCCGCCCTGCAGCGCCATCTCGATCAGCGTCACGCGCCCGTCGCCCCTCTTGGCGGTGCGCAGCGCCCTGAGCGCGCTCCTCCGCACCTCCTTGCTGCTGACCTGCCAGGGGCTCGACCTAAACAGTGCCTGTCGGTCAAGCGTTGCTGTCGTGATCCATCGCCTTGTCTTCGTCCACGAGATCAAATAGGCGGTGAGCGAGTGGGGGAAGTGAGAAGGGGCGGGCCTTCTCAGAAGTCTCGGAAGCCCCCGGGCCTTCTGAGAAGTTTTCCAAACCTTCCCCGAATACGCAAAACAAGTCTCAGAAGGCGCGAGGACTTCTCAGAAGACCCGCCGCCTTCTGAGCAGGCCTTCTGCTTCTCATTTCCCCCCCTCGCTCGCCGCCGATCAAAGAACGAATCAAAAAACGAATCAAAAAACGAAGCATAACGTCTTGCTGCAGAACGAATCAAAAAAAACTAATCGTTTTGCTGCAGAACGGATCAAAAAACGAATCAAAACCTGTTGTTACATCGTTTTGCTGCAGAACGAATCAAACAACGAAAACCGTCCACGAGATCGCCAAGGCACCGTTCTGGCCGAGCCCCGTGACCTGCAGCTGGAGCAGCGAAGGGCCTGCGCTGGGCAACGTCTTCGTGAACAAATCAAGCGCATCGTCGTCATTCAGAATCTTGATCCGCTACACCCCTGCTTGGAGGTAAGACAGTTTTAAGCTCAGGAAATGAACTTGACTCCAGGCGGTTTCGTGAACAGCACTCCTCCAGACCCAAGCGCATGGAATTTCCTTCAAAGTAGCTGAACAAATCATAGATAAAACGCCCAAGGTCCAATCACGATCCGTGAATCTCCGAAGCCAAATCCAGAATCCACGAAAATTTATGTTGCTTTCTGAAAGCTTCTGATGGGTGCACTCGGGGATCTACTGATCCGGGTCAACCCAAACCGGGATCAGTGGGGCTTTGCAAGATCCTGCAAATCCGGCAAGACTGCAGGATCCTGCGCGCTAGCCTGGGTCAGTGCACCCCTGGGTCTGCTGGATCCTGCAAGATCTGGCAATCTGGCTGACCCCTGTCTGCATTAACACTTGTGCGCGGCCGGCGTGCCGCAGGGCATCTATGTGCGCGGAGGGTGCACGAATCGCTCGGCGCGCGCGGCGCTCGGAGGGGGCGCGAGGGGGGGGGGGAACAGAGGCGCCCAGGGAGACAAAAGCAGATAGACACACATTTAAAACTGAAAGCAAGGATGCACGATAGGGATGCAAGCCCCTTGGACGCCCATGTCGAAGCGTCTCGAGCGGGGAAGCGGTTGATGATGGACCGAAGATGACCGAAGACGCAAGGATGCAAGGGTACCCTTGGAAAGTCGCTCGTCCCTACTATCTACCAGTGCGTTCTGGATTGTCGTCTTCCCCTTCCTCTCCCATATTCTGTTTGTGTCTGTGTTTGTTGGTCCCTCCTTCATCTTCCATTCCTTCATCTTCCATTCCGTTTGTTGGTCCCTCCTTCATTTCCCATATTCGGTTTGTGTCTGTGTTTGTGTCTGTGTTTTTTGTCGTCGTCTCCTTCATCTCCCGTCCCCCTGGATACCAATGTTTGTTTGTGTCTGTGTCTGTTGGTCCCTCCTCAAGGCTGGAGGGCAGGGGCCCAGGAGCTGGCCCCCCACCTGGCCAAGCTCCTCCTCCTCCTCCCCCTCCTCCTCCTCCTCCTCCTCCTCCTCCTGCTCCTGCTCCTCCTCCTACTCCTCCTCTTCCTCCTCCTCCTCCTGCTCCTGCTCCTGCTCCTCCGCCTCCTCCTCCTCCTCCTCCTCCCCCTCCTCCTCATCCGCCTCCTCCTCCTCCGAACGTGGTGGAAAGCGGCCGACGTTTTGGCCAGCGCCCACATCTCTACCGCGAAGCGGTGGCCTCGTACGGTCTTCCCCCCCATCACCGCGAAGCAAGCGGTCGCCAGATGCCGATCGACAATCCGTACACACCCTCGTGCCGAATCTGGACGTGCCTTCGCTTTGGGGGGGAGGTTCCATTTCCCACGGCAACGCATACCGATGAGGCAAGCTTGGGCACCCTCAGCTTGTCGTTTGCAGCGCCAGCCTTTGAAAGCGTGACATCGGAGAGGGAGGAGGAGAAGGAGGAGGAAGAGGAGGAGGAGGAGGAGAAGAAGGAGGAGAAAAAGAAGGAGAAGGAGGAGGAGGACGACCACCACGAGGGGGAGATGGGGTGCGGAAACTGGGAGCCCGTAAAACAGGGTGCGGACCTTCGTTCGCCACGAAGTGCATCGAGGGCCCGAAGGCCTGATCTTGCACACAACGCTGGGCTTCAGTCGTCGGCGAGCCTGCGGGGGAAGCGAGCAGGGGCGCGCCTTCCCAGAGGGCTCGGAAGTCCCCCAGCCTTCCGAGAAGCCTCCCGAGCCCTCCCCGAGGACACGGAAAACCTCTGAGAAGGCCGGAGGCCTTCTGAGAGGCCCCGCCGCCTTCTGAGAGGGCCCTCCCCTTCGCCGAGGCAGGCCCGGATGCTCCACCCCGCGGCCCGACAGGGCGCCCGCCGTGGCCTCGGGGCCTTGCCTGTGGAGCCGCTCGGCGGCCCGGCCAGGACGTCCTTCCCTGCCGCGGCGGCGCGAGGCCGGCCCCCCCCCCCCCCCCCGTTGCCTCCCGAATCCCCGCCCCCCCCGGACGGACCCGCGGTTTCGGGGTCGAATCCCCCCCATGCGAAACGCACCATTTCGTTATATCATCCTCCGCCCTCTTTCTTCTCGCCCTCCCCTCTCTCTCTCTCTTTCTCTCTATTTCTCCCTCTCTTCCCCAGGAGGAGGAGGCAGAGGCGGAGGAGGAGGAGGAGGCGGAGGAGGAGGAAGAGGCGCGTCTGGACGCCCGAAGAGGATACGGAAAAGGTGGGTAGTGCAGTCCGTCCGTGTGAGAAGGGTGCGCGGTAAGGATGCAGGGTGCCTTGGAGGGCCATGGTCACGTTCTTCGAGCGAGGTTTTTGGAGTCCCGAAACGGTGCGGTGACAAACCGTGCGGTGACCTCGGAACCCTGAGAGACCTCACCGCACGGTCCGTCAACGCACGGTTTTGGGACCCTGGAGGCCCCTGTCGCACGAGACGTCCTCGGAGAACGACCCGAGTCCCAAAACCGTGCGGTGACCCCGAATCCCCACCGACTCACCGCACGGTGTGGTCACCGCACCGTTTGGGGGCCGCCGAAGGTTGGCGAGCGGGAGTCGCTTCAGGATGGACCGGAGGGGCAAGGATGCATGGGCAGCCTTGGATAATCGCTCGTCCTGACTGTGCGGGTTGACTGTGCGGAAAGAAGTGGGTAATATACCCAACAGCGAACGTTGTTCAAAACCGGCACCAGCCGCTGTTGAGCATAATCCTGTTTGTCTCCAACGGACGACGTCCGCGGCGACACGCACGAGCAGCGGACCGGGTTCAACGTGGGCAGGGTCTTTCCGTACCCGTGTCGGTCAACCAGAACGTAAGACCTCGTGAATCGCAGGGCCTGTTCTGGGAGCGCCACAACCATGCTACCGTCAACCCGTATAGCAAGGATGCGCGATAAGGATGCAGGGGCCTTGGACGCCCATGCCGAAGCTCTTCGAGCGGGGCGCGGCCAGCGGAAGTGGCCAAGGATGGGCCGAAGGGGCAAGGATGCAGGGGTACCCTTGGGAAGATTGTCCCACCCTATTACGCGAGTTGCCTGCACACCGCTGAAAGCACCGGCTGCGACAAGCACCTGCCCTGGCAGCGCGGGCCCTGGCTCCCGACGCCGCGCGAGCCGTCAGAGAGGGAGCGGCCCCTGCTCTCCTTGCCGTCGCTCGGACGTCTCCCCCCCCCCCCCGGTGCATATTTCATGGTCCTGAGATTAGATTTCCGCAAGACGAGCCCAGATTCAAGTCGGGCGTGCCCCCCTACAGGGGGATTTTGGACGACAGACGAAACAAATACCCCAGAAATGCGCCAGCAATATTCAAAGATGGTCAAGGAGTCCCCGGTTTTTTTTTTACCACTCTTGAGCATCCCTCCTGTAGAGGGGCAGGCCCGACCCAAGCCCAGATGCTCCTCGGTGAACCCTCGCGGAAGGCAAGCCCTGCTTCTCTTCCCTCCCCCCTCCCCTCCCCCAAGAGTTAAGTCGGGCCTGTCCCCCTACAGGGGGATCTTCGACGAAAAATCAAATTTACTCCCAAAATAATAAAAAAATGCCCCAAAAATAGTCTGGGGACTATTTTGGGGGTATTTTTGTTACCTTTTTGGAGTACTTTGGAGGTATTTTTAATTTTCGTCGAAGATCCCCCTGTAGGGGGACAGGCCCGACATAACCCAAGAGTCGGCCCCCGCGGACGTCGGGCCGCGGGCCTGCCGCCGTGGGTCGCGGGGCTCGACGGGGGCCCTCCGGGGGGGGCGGGCAGTCCAGAAGGCCGCCCCGTCGGCCAACTCTCAGGTCGGGCGTGTCCCCCTGCAGGCGAATTTTAGAAGTCAAGATTCCCCCCCCCAGAATAACCACCCCGACACGCGAAGTCGTTCAGTAAACGCATCCAAGGAAAGAATCGAACAGGGCAGGGCTGTTTAGTAAACGCCCACGGCCGTTTAGTAAACGCCAATTGTCCGGTCTGGGTGGTTTATCCTCCCTTGAGAATTTGGGACGACAAATGCAAAAATGGCCAAAACATGTGCCAACACAAATGCTCAACAGTAGTCAGACAACCGTCCCTGAACTATCTTTTTTTGTATTACTTTTGCAGTTCCCTCCTGTAGAGGGACACGGCCGACTTGAGGCTACACGCAAGTGACGAAAGAGTGACCTTTGGTGCGGGGCCTGTCGGGGGCCGCGGGGGGGGCCAAGCCCAGGCGCGCAAGACGCTACGATCGCATCGCATCCGGCGATCGGGTGACCCCAGTGGGCCCACACCAAAAGCTTCTCCGGCAACATGTCACTCTTACGTCTGGTCGATACCTGGCGTCGCTGCCGCTTCCAGGCGGCACGAACCTGCCGTGCACATTCGAGCACGGTGGCGGATTCGCGCGACAGCGGAAATGGATGGTGTCCGCGATGGCAAGCAGCTCGTCCGTGCGGATCTTGGTGCGCTCCTCCTGCTCCTGCTTCTTCGTGGCACAGCCTTTGCTCAGCTCAGCAAGGAAGGCCTTGTCCTCCGCGAGGGTCTTGGCGGTGTCATCGCTGTCCTCCTTCATGTTGGCTATTTCCAGGCCGAGCTCTCCAGAGGCCTCCAGCTTCTGTTCGATCGCCGTCGTAAGCGCCTCGATCTCAGCGGTCTTGGCAGCCATCAGCGCCTCGAAGACCGACACGGCGTTCTCTTCAGAGGCTTGGGCGTCCTTGAGGTCCTTCTCCATGGTCTCCTGCATCTGCTGCAGGATGCCAGAGATCTGCCCAGCCTGTTGGGGCGGGAAACCGAAATCGACTACGCGTAGAAGTGACCCTGGGCTAGAGTGACCTTTGGTGCGCGGCTTCAGGGGCGTCCGTGGGGGCCCAACGCAATCGCGCAGGCCGGCGTTGCCGCGCCGCATCAACGATCGGCGGGGGGCCACCCGAAAGATTTGTTGTGCCAGCGGGCAACCGCGGAAGTCCGCCGATTTAATTCGAGCACCCCGAATGGCACTTCGCAGGCGCTGCAAAAACAAACGCTGCCGGGGGCCACCGCGAGGAGGTCTGGCACTGCCAGGCTGCACCGCGATGACGTCTGACCAGGGACAGCGTCATGGCCCAAACCCGCCCCATCCGAGAGCGAGGAATATGTTTGAATATCTTTGGATAACTTTTAGTAGTGAAGATCCCAAGTGATCCAAAAACATATTCAAGGATATTCACAGATATTCAAAGATATTCAAAGATATCCAAAGATGTTCACGCCAAACCTTTTCGGATTTGGGCTGAAATTCGGGACTGGTCCTGGGCCGGAAAACGCGCCGTCCGGTCGACGGGCTCCCCCCGGGTAACCAATGCAAGCTGTAGGGTGCGACGCGTATGCGTTGCTGTCGATGGCAAGGGGTGGGCCCAAACGCGGCGCGCTCAGATCGAGCGTAATCGCGCGATGCGAGTGCCGACGCGAGGTCGAGCTCACTCCACGAGAGAAATCGCCCGACCCCTTTGGGCCAGCACCAAGGGTCACTCCGGCGAAGGCTCACTCCTAGGTGTAGCCGACGAGAGGCACTGACACCGCTCCTCCCCGGACCTCTCCCGGGGTGCCTCCTGACCAGGATCTCGGGGCGAGCCCGACGGCGGCGACGCAGGCCTCCCAGGACGGCGAAGGGGGACAACGGGCGCAGTCCAGCGGTATGGGTACCTCTTCCTCCTCCGGCCTGCGGCGCGTAGTCGGAGGAGCCGCTCTGCGACAAGAACGAGGTCAGGACGTCGCGGTCGGACGCGGGCATGTCTGCGTCCACGGCCAGGCGGCGCAGGGCGCCGGACGTCGCGGACTGCAGGAAGCTGCCCGCCATGCCCTTGGAGATGGCCTCGATGGCCTTGGCCATAGCCGCGAGGTTGGCCTTGTAGTCGGAGACCGTCTTGGCAAACATCGCGGCCTCCTTTTGAGCAGGGACCGACCGTCCCGGCACTCCTGTACCACGACACGTTCTTCGAACCCCCATGTGTCCTAAGAACCGAAACGGTGTGCTCAGAACATAAGCCCAACGTGTGAAAACAAGGCGGTGCCGGCCAGACATGTTCTGAGAACACGTCGTGCAAGCCACAAAAGGTGCTCAGAACATTCTTTGGTGGGCACCCTCCTCCTCCTCCTCCTCCTCCTCCTCCTCCTCCTCCTCCTCCTCCTCCTCCTCCCCCTCCTGCTCCTCGTCCTCGTCCTCCCTCCTTGGTAAGGCGGGCCGGGCTGCTTCGCCACTGCCCGATCCTTGGCGCGGAGGGCCTTGGCCGTGGCCACGGCAGCCTCGCCGGCCTCCCGGTCGGCCTTGTGCTTCTTCAGGTCGGCGTCGAGCTGGGACTTCCGGGACTCCGCCTCCTGGAGGGAGGCCGCCACCTGCTCGATCTTCTCCTCGCTTTATGCGGTTCCCGCCGCACTCAAGGGCCACATCCCCGAAACCATTTCGGGCACCGAGAAGAGCATCGAAACGGTATCGAACGAGCAACGGTATCGAACGAGCATCGCCTCCCGAGGCCAGACACGTGAAAACCCTCCGGTTTCGGTGCTCCCTTGGTGCTCGAAATTCTTCCTGGTGGTCAAGGCTAACGTAGGTTGGAACATCATAATCCTCGTTGGAGGTGATGGCAGACTCCAGCTGACCCGTGCCCGTTGTGCAGTAGCACATGAACTTGTCATATCCGCCGGGACGGTCGCGAAGGCCACCAGGCTGCAGGGCAAGATGTGCTGTAAAGTGTTATGCCTGGCTTACTGTTCTCGGGGCCGCAGCACCAGCGTCAAGAACTTCATGCCTGGAGCGCCTCGCCCGCCTTCAGTTCTCCCTCCGCGGCCGCCCTCTTCTCCTCCCGCCCCCATGGGTGCCAAGTCGACAAGTTTCAGTGTTTTCAGTGGGTCGGTCATCATGGACGTATGGTGCACGAGGTTTCTTGCAACTTAGTCGCCGCGGAGACCTGAGAAACCTTGATATGACCCATGTCGACAACAATGGCATCCAATATGGTTCCGCGCACGGCTCCCGAGAAACAAACACATAAACACTCGATGCGGAGATCCAAACCTGGGAAACACACACGCACACAAAACACACACACACACGCAAACACACTTGATTGTGTGTGTTAACCATCGTATACCCCGAATAACGTTTGATTGCAATGTGGTAGCCCATGTGGTGCAACGATTTGGTGCGAATTCTGCGAGGCAAACCATGTGGTGCAAGCTCAATGGTGCAGTCTACGTGGTGTAATCAGCGTTATCCAAGCTATGTGGTGCGCGCATTCTATGTGTTGCAAACCGGGTGGTGCAATCTGTTTGGTGCAACATCAATCTACGTGTTGCAGGTTGTGTAGTGCAAGCTACGTGGTGCAAGTAATGTGGTAAACGTGGTGTGGTGCACGCTATGCTGTACAATCCACGTGGTGCAACCTACGTGGTGCAAGCTACGTGGTGCAAGCGACGTGGTGCAAGCCACGTGGTGCAATCTATGTGGTGTAAATGACGTTGGCTTCCTCGCGCTTGACAACCTCGCATGTTCGCGCACTTACCCCACCCACCCACCCGCAACTCGGTTTGCAAAAGCCATGCGGTGGCGATTGCGATGGCTGCCAGGCGATGGCTGGTGTATCGCTGCGGCCGTGCTGGCGCGAGCAGGCCTGCGCGCACAGCGACAGCTGGTCTGGCGCGACCAACGCGGCCGTGGTGGGGAGAACCGCTGGGAACTCCCAAGTGCGCCTCGCAGGTCGCGCTGGCGCCTGGGCAGATCAGTGCGAGCCGGTGGCTCGGGCAGGCGCGGTACCATGGCGACGTCGCCAACGGGAGACACGACGTGACAGTTATGATAGTGACAGCGGCAGAGGCAATGACGGCGCCGATGCGGATCACGCTGATGACGGTGATGGCGTCCTCGCGTCGGTGATGAACAAGTTGGGACGAGCAGGTACATAGGCCTCCTCGTGGCCGCTCGTCGGAAACGCGTCCTCCTCATCCCCGGCTTAGTGCCTCCCCGGAGTGAGGGGGGTAGGCTGTGGTGGGACTGTGCCTTTCCCTTCTTCCCTTATCCCTCGCTCGCTTTCTTTCCCTCCTCCTCCTCCTCTTCCTCCTCCTTTCCCTCCCTTCTCCGCTCCTCTCTCCTTGCGGTCACAGTTCTCGCCGCGGTCCACTCCCCCGCCGGGGTTTGGGGTTTCCTGGTGATGTGCTGTTTCAGGGTGAGGGGATGAGGACGATGGACGCGGCTAACCCCAACCCCATTAGGGGTGCCCCCTTGTGTGCCTAATGTTAGAGGTCTGGTCGTTGCTGCTGTGGCAGGGCCCTCTTGATTGTGCTCGGGTCGGCCATCCTCTAAGCAGTCCGGATTGTGGTGGAGGCGGGATTGCACAACCTCCCCGGGATCATCACGCCGCGGAGGCGGTTGGGGCTTCGGCTCTTTCCTCCATGGGGGCGTCGGCTCCGGCTGGGGCTGCGGCTGGGGCTGCGGTGTCAGTCGCAGTGTCAGTCGCGGGTCCCGGGGGGCAGACCGGCGACTCGTCTGGCCAGCGCGCGTCGGTATCTGTGCCGTTTGTGGCGTGTGCTTCGGCGAATGTGTCTGTAAAAGGCCCTCCGTTTCCCTCAGGTATAAGTTGGTGTCCGTGTTAGGTGTCCCTGATTCGTGCTTTGTGAGGGAATCTGGCAAAAGTAGGCGTCTGAATATGTTTGTTCTTCACCCTGCGACGCCAGAATTAGGTTCTGGGCCTGTTGTCGTGTGTTTGCCACCGCTGGTGCGGCCACCTCCTCGGTGCCATTAGATCTTGGTCTCGTGGGGCAATGGTGGTCTTGCAGAGTGATACCACACGTGATGTGAGTGTAAGATGAGGGGGGCAGGTAGGAATTGGCATTTTGACGGTCTCCACTTTGTCTAGGGTCTTTGGGGGGCTGCACCCGAACCTGGCGGCGATCCTACGCTGACGCTGCGGGGGCGGCTGAGGGTTCTATAGCTCCATCTTGTGCCCGACCTGTCGCCTACTGACGCAGGTCTAGCCGCCCCCACGCCTTAGCAGCCGGGGCAATTTTCTTTTCCCCTCCCTCATTTTCCACTGCCCCAGAGCCAGACGGGTTTCTTGTATGGTGCCCGCGTGCCAGATAAGATTAGATTGTGGCCCCTGCGCACATTTGACACGCAACCATTGAGAAGTGTGATATTCGGTAGTGGTGGAGGTAGGTTATTTTTGTTGTGTTTCGGGGTCGGGGTGGTTGTGGCTGCGTTGTGTATGTGCCAAGATGATACTCGCCCCCTGTCAGATCCCAGGTCAGGCCCGGTTTCTCCCTGAGGGCCCGGGCGTCGTTCGCGGCGTAATACCCAGAGGCAGAGGCGGAGGCGGATGAAAATGTTGGAAGGATTTCAACATGCGCGCGCGGTCGACGCGCGCGACTGGCCCGCATGGTTTTATTTGGCGCCTCCCCCTCCTCACGCGCGCAAAATCGTTCGAGTGATTCCGACATGCGCGCGCGAGGGGCACGTGTGGCAGCAGGTGGTGAACATCTTGACACAGATGCGTGGTTCCCCCAAGAATTCGCAAGAGCGCGAGCGCAGCTTTTTGTTCGGGGCACTCGATTTTGAATTCTGTACGGAACGGGAAGTTTTTGTCCTCGGCATGCGCGCGCGGCGACGCGCGCGTGTGCACTTTGTCCCGTTCTGTGAATCCTTGCGACAGCACGCGCGCAAGGGCAATCGAATGATTTCGACATTCGCGCGCGAGGGGCACGTCTGGTCGCATGTGATCGAAATGTTGAACAGCCTATGTTTCCCTCAGGGGTTCACAAAAGCGCGAGAGCAGTCCTGATTGAACATTGCTGCTGCGAAACTGTTTTTGTTGATGTTTCCGGAACACTCGATTTCGAAATCCTCACGAAACCTGAGGTTTTCGAAGGATCCCGGCATGCGCACGACGACGCGCACGGGTCCACCCCGTCACGATGTTGCAAAGGATTCTCCAAACAGGATCTTTGGAGATGAAGAATTGCGCGCGCATTGTCTTCTTCTGCAAGGGATGGGGGGGGCGCTAACAGCCTGGCTGAGACGGCACGACTTCATTTATCGAATGCACGATGGGGCAGAACTGTATATAAGTTGAACATCCCCAGGGTGGGCGGTCAATCCCGGGGGGAGTGGGTAGATCCGAATCCTGTCTTAGGAAGGAGAATCTATGCTGTGCGATCTCAATGTTACGTGCTATCGGGGCGCCCACGAGGCGCCCATTTTGGCGGGCACTAGGCGAAAGAATTCAGCACACACGCCCAGCGCAGGGCGCGCTCACAGGCAGGCACCACGAATAATCTCGGCATGCCCGATGCGATCATCGATCACCTGGGGCGGATCACAGCCGGCTGCGATCGGGCCAAGGCGATTGCGATGCTAAGGGGGCGCTTTCGCATAGTTTTGGTTAAGAGACGGCTCTCAAGAGTGTGTCCCCATGAGTCTCCCGCTGGACATTCGAGAAAGCAACTGCGATCGGGCCGATCCTAGACGGTTCGCCACCTCGACCGCTAGCCCTGCAAACCACACGTACTGCAAGATTTCGAAAGTCTCAAAACTCAAAGATCTCTCATGACCCCTACAGCGTCCTCGGGGGTCCATTGGATCCCCCCCGACCCCAGAGGATTTCTGATATCATACATCAGAACCACTTGAAGCTATTCAACGGCTCTTCTGAAGGCTTCCAGAAGATGTTCGAATACTCGTTAATGCAACGCGTTGGATTTTGCAACGATCCAAACATCAAACCAACATGACACGGGAAAGGGGAGTTTTTTTTTTTCTCCGAGGGTTCTGCTGAGAGGCTTCCCAGAAGCTTGCCAGAAGCTCCTTCTCAGAGGCTTCTCAGGAGTTTCTCACAGGCTTCTTTTCAACCGCACCTTCGGAGAAGCTGGTCAGCGGCTGCTCAGAAGCTTCTTATCAGAGGCTTCTTCTCGGAGGCTCCCACTGGTTGTAGTCCGGCGCTCTCCTCGTAAATCTGATCTGCTCATCCTCCTGGTTGGGACCAGTCCTTTCCCAATTTCTTTCTTGCTCGCCCCGAATAATTTGCGAAGGGTCCGGAGTGGTGGGGGTCCACCTCGACGCTAGGATACCCCCAGACTTTGGACGCCCGACATGGGCACGGAAAGAATGGGTACAATGCCCAACAGCAAATGTTGTCCCGAACCAACAGCGGCCGCTGTTGGGCAGGCGGCCTGCTGTCTCAGATGGACACAGGCCGCGGCGGCGCGGACAGCGAGCCCTCTTCAAAACGAACAGGAACTGCTGTCGGGCATTGTACCCATTCTTTCCGTGCCCATTTCGCTCGTGCAGAATTAAAACAGGGCTAGGATCTGGATAAATCGCTCCAGAGCGTTCCGGAGCGCTCTCAGAGCGTTCCGGAACGCTCTGGAGCGGCCGCGGCGCCCAATACATCCTCCAAACCCGCCGATCCTCAGAGATCTCGAGTTACCCCGATCCGATTTTGTCCCGATCTTCGCGTCGTTTGAAGAATACCCCCAGACGCGGGGCCGCCCACGATGACGAACGAACAACACACACCCATACCCATAGGGAGGTCGTTGGGAGGAGGACTGGCTATGGGTATGGGTGCGGGTTGTCGGACCCTGGGGAACGCTCCCGTTCGAGCGGGGACCCCCATCCGACAGCACGCGCCCATAGCCCTCTCCGATCCCCCTATGGGTATGGGTGTGTGTTGTTGGTTCGTCACACGAGTCGCCCGCCCCCGGGCGGCCGTCGGGCCACACCTCGGCATACTCATATGCCTCCACCGCGCGCGGGGCGCCCACTGACCACCAGCGGGCACCGGGCAGACTCTCGGCCTCCCCCCCCCCACCGCGGGGGCGGCCAAGAGGGGGGCGTTGAAGGGGCCCTGGGACACACCAATAAATACACACAGATAAAAAGATCCCCCATATTTTCTCACATTTTCTGAGCTTTTGTCTTCCCCCCCACTTCCCATATCTTCCCATATTTTCCTGGGAGTCGACGATTAATTGTGTCTGTGTGTTTCTTTCCCTCCTGACCCCCCCCGCGGGGGCGGCCGAGAGGGGGGTGTCCAAAGGGGGGGGGTGCAGATCGTGGCCGGCGGCACGTGCGCGGCCCAGGGGCGGGGGCCGCGGACGCCATGAGACAAGAAGAGGCGCCGTGAAATCTGGGGAAGTCTCATGGCCCACGCCATGATATCCACACGCACCCCTAGGAGACTGCTTTTATATAATTATGGGCAGCGGCTGTTACCCAGGGGAGAGGTAACGGTAACGGCGGCCGCGGCGTGCGCCGCCAGGGTGCGTCCGCGCCATCGGCACATCAAGTGCCATACCTGCTGGGGAGGGGGATCCGCCCTCCACCCCCGAAAAACGTACGATACTTAGCGTTACCCGGGGAAGGGGGGGGGGCCAGGTAGCAAGCGTTACCCGCCAGAGGAAAAACAAATCTCTTTATAGGGAAACAAACAATGACATAAACATAAAAACTCGGAGGTCCGCGCGGACCCTCAATCGTGAAACTCTTGCAAATATTGGATAGGCAATGTAGGTGGTGCTAAAGCGAGACCCACCTTTTAAAAAGAGGTCGCCCTCAGTCCGTGAACCTCTTGCATCTATATATATATATATACAGAGAGAGAGAGAACAAAACAAAAAGAGTGCGCGCGGCGCTGAGGCGAGAGCCACATGTTGAAAACGGCCCGCCCTCCATTTGTGAAACGGTTGCCAATGTTTCAGCTTCACGGTCACAAATGGTGATGAAGTCTCAAGCGACACACCCGGCCCGCCCTAAAAACTTGCATCGGGGTGCGACAGTGATAAACTTAGCCTGGCGAAGGACCCAACCATATGCATTTGTGAATACCGCAATTGTGCTGGGTGGTGGCGGACGCATGTGGGCGGTGCCACTGGGACCTTCGGTGGAGCTCCCTGTGGGGCCACGAAACGCTGTATTGGGTGGGTGAAACGCAGGGAGCAAGGCTGTGCTGGGTGGTGGCGGACGCATGCGGGCAGTGCCACTGGGACCTTCGGTGGAAACCCCCTTTATGGGGCCACGAAACGCTGTACTGGGTGGGTGGAACGCAGGGAGCAAGGGCTGTGTTGGGTGGTGGCGGACGCATGCTGGCGGTGCCACTGGGACTTTCGGTGGAGCCCCCTATGAGGCCACGAATCGCTGTACTGGGTGGGCGAATCGTAGGGAGCAAGGGCTGTGCTGGGTGGTGGCGGACGCATGTGGGCGGTGCCACTGGGACCTTCGGTGGAGCTCCCTGTGGGGCCACGAAACGCTGTACTGGGTGGGTGGAACGCAGGGAGCAAGGGCTGTGCTGGGTGGTGGCGGACGCATGCGGGCAGTGCCGCTGGGACCTTCGGTGGAGACCCCTTATGGGGCCACGAAACGCTGTACTGGGTGGGTGGGGCGCAGGGAGCAAGGGCTGTGCTGGGTGGTGGCGGACGCATGTGGGCGGTGCCACTGGGACCTTCGGTGGAGCTGTTTGTGGGGCCACGAAACGCTGTACTGGGTGGGTGAAACGCAAGGAAGACGGAAGAGGGAGGAGGAGGGGGAAGAGGAGGAGAAGAGAGGAACGCGGGGACCGTCTCTTCAAAACGAGGACCCAACCCCACAGGATGGTTGGGAAAACGTATAAGCAAAAGAAATGGAGGAGGATGAGGAGGAGAAGGAGGAGGAGGAGGAGGAGTTGGCGGGGGAGGAGGAAGAGAAGAAGTGGAAAAGGAGGCGGAGGATGAGGAGGAAGAAAAAGAGGAGCACGAAGAGGAGGAAGAGGAGGAGGAGCAGCAGGAAGAGCAGGAGGAGGAAGAGGAGGATGATGAGAAGGACGGGGACGAGCAGGAGATGACCACCTGCCCTCAAGCGCTGCTGCGGGACCGCCCTGACGGTGCGCTCTCCCAGCTCCCGGCTGCCCATCACACGCACAGTCCCCGGGGATGGCCGTTCGAGGCCGCCGTCCGAGGAGCGTCGAGTGCACAGAACGCACGGCGCGTCCCCCCATACGACCATCGTGCTACGACAGGGGACGATGGAAAAAGGACCGAAGGTTTTTTTTTTCTGGACACGGCGAGCCTCGGTCACGAACAGGTCCCCCAACCTGGATCTAAGGAGCAGCCCGAAAACCAGAGCCCCCCCTGGGCCCAGAGCGATCCTTCTCTCAGCGCCCTGCTCGTCTTCCAGACGCGCGCTTCGACCCCAAGAGGACCAGGGCTGGCCCCAAGGCGGCCTCAAGGAACTTCAAGGGTACGAGAGCTGCTCAGAGGGACTACGCGACAACTCCCAGAGGTCGCACGATGTCCCCATGATCGCCCCATACATCGGCCCAGTAAAAGCTCCTTGAAGTTTCGCCACGACGCTCGCGAGCGGTAGCCGACGGAAGTAAAACGAAGCGGAATACGGCGGAAGGCCGTCGGAGGGCTTGCGGAAGACCGCAGAAGCAAATGACACCCCGTCCGAAACCCCTACCAACGTAGAAGCCTAGTATGTAGTCTCCTGCCGTGGGCTGGGCGGGATCCTGCCTAACTTACTCCCCTTTAATATTATACTTTTAATTCAGCCGTGCCAAATCCCACCCATTCAAAACATCAAAATTTTAAAGGGCAACACATATCACGGGTCGTTCAAGGATCCCGCCATGCTGGGATTGGCTCGAAGTACGATGGGGCTCCGAAGTTGCAGCAGTCCTGCCATGTCAGAGTCGCTCCGAAGTCCTATTAAAATCATACCTCGGTCATGCTTGGATAGCGCAGCCGTCGCGTGTTCATTCTGGGGCCACCCTGGGCGCGCGTGGACCCATCGTGTTGTCATCGGGCCATCTCGACGTCACTCGTGACTCGTGTGTTTGGTCATCTTCGAGTCGATGTGAGACGGTCCAGACTCCATGGCTGGATCGTGCTGTGGTGGCGTCATCCCAGGGTCGTTTGGACGTTATCGTCTGTGGCCTCAGGCCCTCCTGGAACCATTTTGTGGCCATGGGGACGCCTTGGGATCGCGCGCGTGAGAGCGCTGAGCACGCATGCGCGACAACTCATCTCGCCAACGGGTGTGCATACATCTGTTTCTTGTTGCGAGTTTCCAAAGGACCTTTTGTTGGAGCCAAGTGCGGCCCAGCAGTGGTCCAACGATTGGCCCGATATGGTTCCAGGATGCCCAAGATAGTGCCCAGAGGCCCCAATATGGCCCAGGGATTGTCCACGATGTCCTCAAGGTGCCCCCCAGAAGACAGCCAGAGAAGATGGCGCCAAGGCAGCCCAAATATACCCCCAATGTGGCACAACTCGGCCAACCAAGCCCCAAAACTCCGATCGCCTCCGAGACACGGATTGATCAGAAAGGGGGCGGCGGCTGAAAAAAAGCAAAGCCCTCCAAATAACTCCTGCTCGGCCTTCCCTTCGTCCGCGACCTGCTTCTGCATCTTCTGCAGCAGGTCCACCACGCGCCGGATGGGGTTGGCGTGGCTGCGTGCTGCCATCTTGGCCCTGGAGGCCATGCGCAGCTCTGACGAGACAGCGCCAGCCGCGCCGAAGAGCGCCGTGGCGAGTACGAGGCGCAGGCCGAGAGCGAGCGTCATCGGCATCGAGGGCTGTCGGGCTCCTACGTTGCGAGCAGGGCGCCGTGCAGTAGGCAATGCAGTACTCTAGCCAAGGTGGCCGTGGGACAGGGGGGGAGAAGGAGGCGGAGGATCAGGAGGAGGCGGAGGAGGAGCAGAGGGAGGAACAGGAAGAGGGACGGAGGACTGCGGGGAAAGGGGGACAAATGGAGCGAGAGAGGATGAGCACAAGGGGAACTGCGCAGCCGAGGAGCGGGAGGACGAGGAGGACATACGGGCTTATGGATCGGCCTGCCTCGAGCGAGGCAGGCACGAGGGAGAACGAGGAGGAGGAGGAGGAGGAGGAGGAGGAGCAGAATGAGGAGCAGGAGCGCGAGGAGGGATGGGGACCGAGGAGGGGGCGGAGGGAAGAGGAGGACGAGGAGTAGGAGGGCGAGGAGGAGGAGGGACGAGGAGGAAGAGGAGGAGCAGGAGGAGCACTCGGGAGGATAGGGAGCATCGGGGTGACGAGCGGGAGCACCTTCTACGTTACGCAGGCCATCCCCAGCGCTCGGCGCCGAGGAAAGAACAGGGCGCAGTCGACGAGGGCCTCGGCCGCCCCAGCAAAGAACCCTAAACTTTCATCTTGATCCTCCTCGTCCTCCCCCCCGTCCCTCCTCCTCCTCTTCCTCCTCCTCCTCCTCCTCTTCCACTTCCTCCTCTTCCTCTTCCTCCTCTTCATCCTCCCTCCTCCCTCCTCCCTCCTCCTCCTCCTCCTCCTCCTCTTCGTCCTCCTCCTCCTCCTCCTCCTCCTCTCCCCTCCCCTCCTCCTCCTCCGCCCTCCAAATCCTCCCCTCCCTCCATTGCTCTTCCTACTCCTCGTCCTCGTCCTCCTCCTTGCCCTCCTCCTGCTCCTCCTTCCCCTCCCCCTCCCCGTCCTCCTCTTCGTCCTCCTCCCTCCGCGTCCACTTGCTCCTCCCTCGATCACATGTGGCACGCGTCAAGCCAATGGGATCGACGCTCAGTTGTTTGCAGCCAGTGCTTGAACTTTCGCAGCTCAAGGCCTTTCCCCGCCCTCCTCCCCGCCCCCTCCCTCTCCTCCTCCTCCTCATCCTCCCTCTCCTCCTTCCTGTTCCTCCTCCTGTTCCTCCTCCTCCTCCTCCTCCTCCTCCTCCGTCTCCTCTTCCTCCTCCTCCTCGTCCTCTTCCTGTTCCTCATCCTCCTGTTCCTCCTCCTCCTTCTGCTCCTCCTCCTCATCCTTCTCCTACTCCTCCCCCTTGCCTTCCAACTGTTCTTCTTCTTCCTCCTCCTCCTCCTCCTCCTCCTCCTCCTCATCCTCCCTCTCCTGTTCCTATCCCTCGTGCCCCTACGCCGCCCCCTCTTTCTCCGCCCTCCTATCCGCCCTCCTTCCCATTTTCGTGCGGACCCTGGAGCCCGACCGAGCTGGCAGAGCCTCAGCCCTGTGGCTGCACAGGTGCCCGCAGAGAGGGGGGGAGCACTGCCCTGATGGGCTTCGACCCCCAGAACTGGATGGTGGTCGTGCGGATCTCCACCGGGCCGCGCTCTTCTACAGAGTGGCATTCTCACCAAAATTCTCGCGCACCGTACCCTCTCCCATCCATCCCTCTCTTCCGCGCGAACGACCAGGACGGGATACCTTCTTGCGGCCTCTTGGGGCCCTGGGGCCTCTGAGTCGCCCTGAGGCATCTGAGCTCGCATGAAGCGCCACGCGCCAGCTTTCTGAAGCCAGCCAGGGCCTTCTGGGGCCTCCTGCGGCCCACGATGGGCTTCCAGGCCTCCCAGTGCATCCCGGGGCCTCCTGAGGCATCATGGGACCGCCTGGGCCTCTCGGAACGAGCTGTTCTGAGGACTTCTGACGCCTCATGACGCCTTCTGGGGCAACCTGGGAACTCGCTTCTGGCTCCTCCTCCTCCTCTTCTCCCTCTCCCTCCACCGCCTTGCAGCCGGACCTAGGACAGAGGAACATCCTGCAAGGACATGAGACCCCCCGCTGGCCCTGACTGAATCACCTCCGAGGGTGCCCTCCCCAAGAATGCACCAGAACATCCAACAAGCACGAAGAACATTAGGGCACCCTCCCCGAACCGACCTCGACCGTACGCCTCGCTCCGACTGGATCGTATGCCTAGTTGCACCCCTCCGCATCCTCCTCCTTAATACCTCTTCTCAACAGGTCCCCCTGTCGCACCACCCGGCATGTCGTGGGCCGGGCCGGGCGCTGCGCTGGAGATGCCGGCTCGAATTCTCCTCCTGGGTTCGGTTTGAAAGCACGGATGGAGGGATGGCCGTTCTCAAAATGCTGCCCTCGCCTGAGCGTCGCGCACATTCGTCTTAGAAGCTCGCAACAATCATACGGAGGGAAGCCAGCACGGCGTCAACACGGGATGATCGTCGAAGACTCCCCCCCTGCAAATGCCACAAGTGTAACATGTGTAACACACAGAAGGATGGAACGCGGCTCCTGTCCAAGTGCTATCGCCTGACGCTTGTCATGGCTAGAAACCCACAGAGCAAACATGCGCAATCTACGCGGAGGGGCTGGCACTGCCGTGAGCTTTCAGACTCCCCGTGTGTGTCGTATGCCCTAAAACTCGAGGGATGGAAGAGGGGCCTTTTTCAAGATGGTGTTATCGCCTGATGCCGTGTATTCCTACACGCCAGGAACGTATTCAACGACATGTGCAGCCTGGATGGAGGCAGGCAGGCAGGTGTGCCAGGCAGGCGCCTGCACGGCGCGTCGGCGGACGAAGCCACACTGAGCCTCGCACGCAGATGGAAGACTTGTGGTGCACACTGCCGGCAGGAGAGGGGGAGGAAGGGAGAGGGAGGCGAAGAGGGAGGACAACGGGAGCGAGGGGGAGAGGCAAAACGCATTGACTCGACAAGCAGAGTGTGGACACACTCAGCCCACTGCCGCCTGGGCCGATCCTCCTCGAGGCGGGGCCGTCGCGTGGCAATCCCCAGACATCGTACCAAGCCGTCGGATGGACGAGACCGGTCTCTTTTCTTATAAGCAAATGCTCCCACCCAAATGCGTGGGCCCATGAGGCGCCCAACGCTCGAAGGGGGCGCTTCGCGCGGCGAGAAAGTATGTCTGCAGGAACTCCTGAGGAGGGCACCTGGGGACGGGGTGTCTTGCAGAGAACGGCTTCTTTCAAGACGGAGCTCCCGCCCGAAGTGTGGGCCCGTTGAGGCGCTCGTCGCTCGAAGGCGGCGCTTCGCGTACAGCCGGACCTAGGGCAGAAGAACAAGCTTCAAGAACACGAGACCGTCCGCCGGCAAGAACGAGGAGCACTCGAGGGTACCCTCACCCAGGATGCACAAGAGCATCCAACAGGCACGAAGAATACTACTAGGGTACCCTGCCCGAGACGACCTCGATCTTGTACCTCGGTCCGACTGTAATGAAACAAACTGATTGTAGGGACTCCTGAGGAGGGGGCTGGGGACGGGGTGTACTGCAGCATCGTTTGTGCGTGCCGAGTTTACTTTTGTCCTCCTCCACCTCCATTGCCTCCCATTCCCATGTTTCTCCCCTGCCTCATCCTCCTCATCATCCTTGTATGTCCAGGCCTGGCATTATACGAATACTTGTATAAACATAGATCCATGGATCTACATCTGCACGTGCATATGTCCAGGGGCATGGTCAATTTCTACCCGATCAAATTCCCAGAATGCTTGGCCGCAGGAGCCAGCAGCAAGGAAGTCAAAGCCACATCAACTCGCGGTGTACTGACGTCCCCTCGCACCATCATCACCGCTATGAAGGAGGAGCAGCAGCAGTAGAGACTGGAACGGAGGATGAGGAGAGACGAGGGGGACGAGCGACAGGAGAAGGAGGATGAGAAACACCTTCAGCAGCAGCAGTAGCATCAGCAAAAGGGAAGGGGCTGTGCACTTCCTTCGATGACTACAAGATCGCGACACCTCGTGGATTTTCTTGCTGATCGCGGTTGGTCAGGCATCTCAGCCGCACCGAGCCGTCCAGAAGACACTCCCCGCCGCCGTCAAGCGTCAAAGGGAAGGGGCCCTTGAGCCATCCGTCGGGGGCAACGGCGACGCAGTCTAGCTGACGCCTCATGGTGGCGACGACCTGGCCGCTGCCTGAGCGGAAGAACAAATTGCATGAACATAAACTTTCGGAGGCTCTGGTGGATGTCTCGGATCGGCGCTGCGCACTGCACACCCCTCCATGGCGCGCGGAGCGCGCTGGGGGTGGCGCCAGAGGCGCCGCCACGGGGGTCCAGCGCAGATCCACCGAATCCGGTCATGTTTAGGTCACTGATGTTTCTGAACGGACCCAGGGACACAAATCAATGGACACACTTCCGAGGATTCCACGCCTCTTTACCCTGTTTGCTGGGTGCTCGTCTTCCCCATCCACTTCCCATATGTTCCCTCGTTTTCCCAAGGGAATCGACGATAGTGGGTGTCTGCATCGTGTTGTTGGTTGTGTTGTTGGTTCTCCCGGAGTTTCTTCGATGGGACGCACAGAGACATACTAATACTACATGTCATCCTTGGAGGCGCGCGTCCGACCCGAACATATGGTATACTTGTTCTCCCTGATTTAACGTGGGGGGCAAGGTCGTGGGGGTGCTGCGCCGGCGAAAATTATCCCAAGGCCAGATTATCGGCCGGCGAAACTTACGATGCCCAAGGGCCGGCGAAAATTATGCAGCATTTCAGGGTCGCGGCTAACCACGATGACGGTGATATTACTGAAGACCATGGTGTGGCAGTGGTGAAGACGAGGATGTTGTGCTGGTGAATCACCGTCGTCAGTCCTCCTATCCATCCTCAAATGCGCGAGCGCGGTTGATGCAGAATGGACGAACGCATTACTGATGCACGCAGCAATGACCATCAACCTTGCGAGCAATCTGTGCTCACAGACGCTGGCGAAAATTACGCCTGCATGTCGCGAGGGCCGGCGGGAAATATTCCTCGGAACACAACGCCGGCGAAAATTATGCTGGGGCCCAAAGGCGCGACCGGTGAAAATTGCACCACCCACGCTAAAT